ACTAGTTTGTGGCGCACCATCCAGCCTGCCAACACACCATACAGGCGTCAGTCTTTGTGTCTTTTCAGTGGAGGTAACATCTTGCTTGAGACTCTCTTCAACTAAATGCTTTTTCTGTGTTTGCAAGCAAATTTTTGGTCATTTTGAAATTTATTTTACATATTGACAATATATAATGCAGTGCAGTGTTGATTTAAAGAAAATAATCTTGAATTACACCAGAGAGCTAAAATTTTATGGGTGAAATGGTGCCATGGGGTGACTTGTCTTCCACCCCAATGACTTCTCTTCCACCCCAATGCCTTCTCTTCTCCCTTCTCCTCCACCCCCATTCTAATTCCAATCATCATCATCATCCAGGAGCCTTCTACATACACACCTCAAAGTAAGTGTACTTTACTACCTTTTTTGTTGAATTTAGGCAATATTCAGTGAGCTGGAACCAATTACCCAAAAACCCATTGAAACAATGGTTTCGGTTAACGAGCTTTTCGGTTAACGAACAACCTTCTAGAACGGATTGTGCTCATTAACCGAGGGACCACTGTATTTTTGCTGAAATGACGTACGTATTACAGTGGAAAGTGGGATAAAATCGTGACGAAAACAATGACTTTCGCTTTCTTTCGTTCAAAAGATGTTACCGTAATCGCTTTTTGAATGGTTTTCAGTTATAAACTGTTGTACAGTGACCCCTCGTTTAACGAACACCTCGGTTAACGTAATTTCGATTAACGAACTGCCTTCCATAAGGATCTTCAATTCGGTTAACGAAAAAAAATTCGCTTAACGAACTTCTTACGAACCGACCTCAACATGTTTTCGCTTGCACTGACCGGGCAACCAGCTTTAGTATCAGTCCGCCAATACATTAATCGGTTCTAGGGCTTAAATTCCTTACTATTTTTGTAAATATCAATAAGTTTATACTATTCAATAATTTTAAAAGTTTAATATTCAATTTTTTAGTCATTTTAACAATTATTGAACAAAATTGAAGGTAAAGTGACTAGTTTAATGCGCGGCATCCAGCCTCTTAACACAGCAAACAGGCGTCAGTCTCTCTCTGTTTTCACTGGAGGTAACATCTTGCTTGAGACTCTCTTCAACTAAACGCTTTTTTTCTGTGTTTCCAAGCAAATTATTGGTCATTTTGAAATATATTTTATATATTGACAATATATAATGCAGTGCAGCGTTGATTTAAAGAAAATAATCTTGAATTAAACCAGAGAGCTAAAATTTTATGGGTGAAATGGCACCATGGGGTGACTTCTCTTCCACCCCAATGCCTTCTCTTCTTCCTTCTCCTCCACCCCCATTCTAAATCCCATCATCATCATCATCATCCAGGAGCCTTCTACATACACACCTCAAAGTAAGTGAACTTTTCTACCATTTTTGTTGAATTTAGGAAATTTTCGGTGAGCTGGAACCAATTACCCAAAAACCCATTGAAACAATGGTTTCGGTTAACGATCGTTTCGGTTAACGAACGACCTTCTGGAACGGATTGAGTTCGTTAACCGAGGGGCCACTGTATTACAATAATATTCTTTCCTAATTGACTTGAATAAATACTACGATACCATATTTCTGAATATTTTCATTAAAATCCATCAAAATCATTTTCCTTGTCATCGTCTGCAGCACCAAACAGCTTCTCCCAGTCCTCTTCTTGAACAGGGCTAGAGGGTACGTGTTTTTCGAATCGTTTTCAGTTAAAAAACTGTTACATCACATGTATATTTTACCTAAACTGCACCTGAATGAATATATTCTCGGAAATAAATAGTAGTTTTGCTGAAACGTGATGTATTTCAATGTAAAATAGGATGAAATACATGACGAAAACAAAAGACTTTACCTAAGCTTCCGATGTTCTTGAGATGTTACTCGTTTTTTTAATAGTTTTCGGTTAAAATACTGATATATTACAATGATATTCTATTCATACTGTGCTTGATATACTACATTCATGGAAATGTAATATTTTTGCTGAAATTACGTACGTATTACAGTGGAAAGTGGAATAAAATCGTGACGAAAACAATGACTTTCGCTTTCTTTCGTTCAAAAGATGTTACCGTAATCGCTTTTCGAATGGTTTAGTTAAAAAACTGTTGTATTACAATAATATTCCCTCCTAATTGACTTGAATAAATACTTGAATGGAAATATACAATATTTTTGTTGAAACTACCCGAGTTTCAGTGTAGTGTCGTAATAATAAATGGTAAACAATTTGCCTTCGGCACTCGTGTTTCAGGCACGGTGAGCCTCAGTTTATAGGACGTAGAGTGTTTTTACTGAAGGTTTTGTTGTTCCATTACCCTCAAAAACGTGGGTCAAACTGTAAACGAGGAATATCATAAATTAACGATTTCTTGGTAAAAAAAATTAGGGTCGACCTATAAACGAGGGGGGTTATAGACGAGTATATACGGTAATTAAGAGGATTGACTGATAACAAATATCTTTGTTACGTACAGTTTTTAGGTTTCTTTGTGATAACACTGCTGCATGAATGTGTTTGAATAAAAAATGTATTACGTTCCCAATATAGGCTTCAATTAATTATTATGATTGATCAACAATTGGCATTAGTGTATGTTTGAAGTTGTGAAGGAGTAATGTTTATAAAAATAATGATCAAAGTTATGTATTTATTTCCAAAATGATTGGCATTATTTTAATACTAGGGAAATTATATTTCTGTAAAGTAAACAGATAAGAAATACTGTACATGTTTAATTCCAAATTATTGATATTATTTTTTAAAGGAAATTAGATTTTGGTAATTACAACAAAAATATTTTACTTACCAAAGAAGTAAGGAATAAACATCTTTCACTACTTTCTTAAGTTTATTGTATTCCCCAAATAAAATAAAATTTAAATATTTAATACATTTTCATGCTGTCCTTCCAAGACAGCTGTGATGACATGACAGAGATTAGCAATCCCGTGACCGTGATGCATGGGGGAGGCCTTTTAGTTGCGCTGCCCCCTATAACTATATGACAGTATTTGCTTACTTTGAGGAATCGATTCCAGCGATTCCATTGGCACAGAGGTATTCAATTTTTTTAAATTAAGTTCACTACAGCTACAACCAGGGTCTTATTTTCTTAAGTTTCTTATGTAGAACCATCATTACTCACGAAAACAATGCCGTCTTGTCTCCTCTTGTGGTTTTAATATTCTACAAATAATTAATGAATTGCATTGTTCACTTCACATATATAAACATTAATTCAATCAAATACATATTCCGTAATAAACACTAATGAATCTTTTGTACATATTCTTAAGATAAATGACTATTTTTCCTTGAGTGCACACGTATATGTTGGCATTCCTAATCCATCTCTTTTTTTTTTCTCTTTGCCATTAGTGGTTAGCTACTTCAATTGTTCCATTTATTAACATTAAATAAAGTTACTTAAAACATATATATATTAAATTTTTTTACATTAGATTTACGACAGCTACAACCAGGGTCTTATTTTCATTTTCTCGTGTAGAGCTATCGTCCCGGACTCCCGGCTGTAAACACAAATGAAAACGATGGCGTCCCATCTCCTCTTGTGTGACCAATTATTCATTTATATTGTATAAGGTGCATTCAGAAACATTATTTAAAGAATATAGTTTGCAATTTTCATTAATTGTATTGTTTAGGGGGGAAAGAAGGTAAAAAGCCACACAAAAGATATGAAAAGGTCACACTTGGGAACGCATCTCATTATTATTGCTGTATTTTAATGGGAATTAATGATTCGCGATAAGACGATTCACCTTACACTGCAATATTGGAGGACAAATTAATGTCGTTACTCGAGGCTTTACTGTACAGTGGTCCCTCGGTTAACGAACACAATTCGTTCCATAGGATCGTTCGTTAACCGAAAATTTCGTTAACCGAATCCATTGTTTCAATGGGATATTGGGTAATTGGTTCCAGCTCACCGAAAAGTACATACAAAGACCCAAAATGCAGTACAGTACATTTACTTTGAGGTGTATATGTAGAAGGTTCCTGGTTGATGATGATGATGATGGGAATTAGAAGTGGGGATGGAAGAGAAGGGAGAGGAGAAGGAAGTGGGGATGGAGGAGAAATCGCCTTTCAGGGGACCCATGCTTGATGCAGTCATTTCACCCATAAAATTTGAAGTTCACTAGGTATAATTCAAGATTACTTTATTTAAATCAACACTGCACTGCGCTATATATTATCAATATGTTAACTTAATTTCAGAATGACCAATAATTTCAATTAAAAATGCAAAATATTCAAGACACCAACAAAATCGATGTTCACTCCACTGTCAACAGAGCCCAACTGACGCCTGTTGGCTGAGTCAGGCATCTGATGGGCGCACAAAACACTAGTTCCCTAGCTGTACTGCATATATTATCAATATGTTAGGTAAATGTTAAAATGACTAATAATTATAATTTAAAATATGCAAAAATATTAAAGAGCACAACTTTTATTTATATTTACTCCACTGGAAACGAATGTAAACATAGAGCAGATTACTGACTTGCTGAATTGAAATGAAGTTTTATTTGTTAACCGAATTGAAGATCCTTATGGGAGGTAATTCGTTAACCGAAATTTCGTTAATCGAACCGTTTGTTAACCGAGGGACCATAGTACTGTAGTTCTATATACTATTTACTATATAAATAGCAATGATTTTCTGTACATGTAACTTTTTTCATGGGGCAAAGGAAGGCTGGGAACATAATTCCTGTATTTTATCTATTTCTTATGGGAAAAATTTATCCGCTTAAAAGTTGTTTCACACAACGTCGTGTTTTCAGGAACGTAAACCCGACGTTAAGTGAGGACGCCCTGTAGTGCATATTCACTCATAATAACTTTTGTCAATTAAACAATCATCAAACTGAAGGGATATTTAGTGTAATCCACATTTGTCTGCACATCAGATTAGAGACACAAAGTGTTGAAGAAGCTCTTGGCTAACCTTGTGATAAGACTCCTGGAGAGACTGCTGTGCTCCTTCAGATCCTGAGCCAATGGCCTTAGCACCAAACTCCAGGAAAGTCCCTGATGGATCCATATGGTAGAGCTGTGCACCTGATTTATCAAGACCCGCAAACAGCATAGCCACACCAAAAGGACGACTCTGTTAAAATAAAGTAATAATAACACATTGGTATTCAAATCTTCTAAATTTTCTAAACTTTAATACATTGCACTATTGAATACACAAGCTCCAACATAATGCAACAATTTACTACTTAAATAAAAAGTAGTTTTCTCAAGTCATATCAATAGATGAGGGTTAATCACAGCATAACCCATTATCAGCACATCCATCCCCTAAATCCAGCTCTCTCTCTCACATGCACACGCACCACTGCTTCCTGGATACCCATTACCTCCCACTCTATTACATCCCCCTCACCCTATCCTTTCACTTCCTTCTTGATCTTCTCTTCAGTTCACTATGTGACCTCCAACCTTAGAAACATAAGTAGGTTGAAGAGTGCACGAAGCCTAATACCATATCCATTTTGGCCAAATGTAACTGGTTCAATAATTGGAACCTCCATATGAAGTAGAGTGCTGTACCCTGTACTGTGCTTCACCTTCAGTCATTTAATCACTTATGTGCTGGCACAAAGAGCATACCAAAATACTATTCCAGCCAAGCTGAAATACTTCACTTATCCATGGGAAGTATTTACCAGTAAGACAAGTGCTCAATAAAAATCAATTAGCAACAAGACAAACCACATAAAGTTCACTATGTTGTACTAACAAATATCATGAGGGTACTGTTAACCTCTAGTATTGTAGTTCAATAAGCCATTACAGTATATTTAAATTATCATTATGAATTTATTAAATGTTCTTTTTTCAAATAAAAAATCTTCCATTTGTTGTTGATTGAGCAATCTTCCCTGTTGGATATGTGTCAAGTAGATATATTTACTGGGACAAAAGGGAATAAATCAGTACAGTATTTGGCCTCTTAAGCACATCAAGTATATCCTTGTACCTCTTCTGCCAAACCATCAATTGTTTCTCCACATGTACCTTATATAACTGCTCTGGAGTTTAAATACTCATTCACTGACTCTCCTACTCCATATCTTTTGAAAACTGACTGAATTATTATCTTCCATGTACGAAAACATTAATAGTTACCATTGCTGGACCATCATCATCTGAGTCACCAAAGCGGATGGCAAGGTTTGATACAGCTTGAGCTACCGACTCCACTTTCATGTTTTCATTATAGACAAACCAATGGTTGGCACATTCAGTGCGTGCGTGGTCAACTAATGTTCGAGAATCTGCCACCAACCCTGACACAGCACAACCTGGTGATGATAAAACTGGATTAAGATGAGGAAAAAGGTGGTTCAAGGAAACTCCAGCAAATAATTGTATATATATGGCTAATTTAGGTCAGCCTTGGCATAAAATGCAAGAGAAAGTGAAGAAACTCAGTGGTTCTAGAGAGAAGGCATATCCTACACATTGGTAAATAATTTTCATCTGAAATGTAGTTCCTACTTCTCACTTAGGCCATATATTATGTAAGTTTCTTACATATTTACCTTGAAAACACCATGTGCACCACATCACTGATGTTGATGATAATGAAACAATATTATGCTTCATATTCAGATGGTATCCATAGTTATAAAAATTACATGTTTCCCGAGTGATGTTATTCTGGCCGGGTAATTTGTATGAATTTTATGAGCTAAATAAAAAAAAAATTATACTTCACCCCGTATATGAGTTGATGCACCGCGGAAAGTGAAAGTCCGGCCGGTTCTGGCAAGGTACCACTAAATGAGAAATCGCGGAAAGTGAACAGTGTAAAAAGCGGGGTAATACTGTACATAGAAAATCTAAAATGGTGTCTCTTTTTCTTCTCAGCACCACAAAACTCTCACTTTTAAGCTTGCCAGCCATTTTAAAGTGAATTACAAACGAAAGTTTTGTCAGTACACAACACAATCACTAATGTTGGGACTCGAAAATACGTAATTTGACAAAATTTTGGTACGACTGAGGCGGTCGTAAGTCCGGGTGGTATAAGTCGAGTAGGTCGTAAGTCGGGGAATAGCTGTACTTTGAAATATCACTGTCACACTGGGGGCACTGAAATCCACAGTCCATGGCTTGCTGGGAGCATCACAAGAAATAAGCAGTGATTGGGTCGTAAGGAGCCTGAACATCACTGAAGAAATCAGACCTAACGCACTGCCTGATTTGAAGCATGTAGCACAAATTTGCTGATGGCATCCAAAGCCTCCACAGGGGCCATGGCCCCCCACTGAGTAGTAGTGAACCTTGCATCCAAGGCACGCTGGAGAACAGGGACACACAGGAGACGGATATGTAGGACGGCATCAGCATCTGGCCACTTGTTGAGCTGCAACCAGCACTCAGTTGAGCGCCCCCAGGACCGAAAGGCCGCTGAGGACATCTCCAGGTCATATTTCTTAGGTGCAGAGGCCATAGAGACTCGTGGCTGAGATGACTGACGTGGGGCTGACATTGATGCCAAACTTGCCTGCAGCGAGACGATGGCTTGCGCCAGAATCGCCGGTGTCGCTGAAGAAAGGTGGCCACAGGGGGTCCTGGAGGGCGTTGAAAACCCCGGACGGCATGAGAGCAGCATCTTGAGGTTCAGGTTCACAGCTAAATTCACTGCACCATGTTAGGTGTTTTCTTGAAGGGAAGGAGAAACCTGACAGGTGGCAACTGGCCCCTCTCCACTACCAGGGGTTGCCAGGTAGCACCAACATAACTATAATGTCTCCATCTTACAGAAATTGATTTTCAATATTGTATATTATTATAATACAACTGACTTTATTAGAAATTTATTATATTAAAACAATACAGTATTCACCTATCATTTGAAAAGGCAGCGGCAGTGTGCACAAATATGCAAGTGTGTGCCTGGGGTGATGTGGGCCAGCCACCACCTGCCAGGCACCAGTCTCTCCTCACACCAGTTTGATCTTAAGCTCTGGTGTGAAAGCCTCTGCTGCTGACTACATTTAAGGTAAGTGCTCACATCACACTGTATCCATTCCTCATTATTTATTACGTTTAATGTACTGTATTTCATTGTAGATTTTTATTTAAAAAAAAAAAATTAAATTAAAAAAAAAAATTTTGAGGGATTTTTTTTATCTCGTCACTTGACCTGGATTTGGTCCCTAACCCGTAAGTCGGGGAGTATATATATATATATATATATATATATATATATATATATATATATATATATATATATATATATATATATATATATATATATATATATATGTAACAAAGAAGTATGTCTGTGTATTTGTTTGTTTGTACGTGTGTCCGCACGAGAATCTCGGAAACTACTTTACCGATCTCTATTGATGATGGATGGTCTTATATGTATTGATGATGGATGATGTTATATGTAGTGATGATTAGACAATAAAATAATAACAGTTTAATGCTAAAAAAATATACTTTGCTGTACTGTTGTAGTGAAAAACAACTTACATACACCGTTAATGAACTATTAATGGAAGAAGAAGTTTTGGGGACTGAACAGTGAGACAATGTGGAGCCTCCCGGAGGGTGGCGTCCTACTGTTGCCTAGCGGATGAGCCGCCCGGAGTGCGGCGATTCTGCTAGTTACCAAATAAATTCAATACCAAATATCTCTTCCATCTAATACTGTACAATATTGTATATTTTTCCATCCTACAGTATGTAGTAAAAATTATACAATACATATTTTCCATTCTGTGTAGTAAAATACAGTCAATACCTGTTCAACCTGTGTAATAATCCATGAAATAAACATACTACAATAAAATGTGATTGTACTCTTACCGATGTGTCTGTCAATCTCAACAATTTTTTCGATGGTGCTGGGGATCATGAGAGGCGATGTGATCCTCTTTTCTACGGCCAGGACAACACCCTCGCTAGTCTGGATGCCAATGGCGGTGGAACCCAGCTTGATTGCCTCGATAGCATACTCGACCTAGGGAGCAAAAGTGTACAGTAAGGTGACATAAGGCTCCAGCAGGATTTCAACTGCAGTGTGTATTTAGGAACTAGGTCCCAGGAGGTCTTGAAGAGTTGGAGGATCAGGAGATGATGGTTTATGTACTGTATATCATAATAATTCTGAGTGATGAGACAAATATGCAGAGTAAATTTATACAGAGTAATTGAATGAGGATGTTGTTCCAGGAAGAATCTGAAATGGCACAGCTACTTAGGTAGAATTACTGGACTCCGGCACATGCTTCTATGTCCATATTGCTTCTGTCAGGTTGGTATCTATTCACAATGATCTTGGCTTCAAAGTCTTTTAACGCTGGCTGATTACTCCAAAACTTATGGAATCTAGGCAGCTTAAAGGTTTGAATGGATGGTGCACTATGAGAGTGAGTTCCACATGTCCACTATTCTTTGGGTAAGTGTATATTCCTTCAGTTGATTCTACATTGCTCCTTCCTTAATTTCAAAATATGTCTTCGTGTAACTACATTTTAATTTGTTTGGGAATATCACTCACTTCCTTGTCATAATGGCTATTCATATTTTTAAACCTCTATTATATCCCCTCTATAGTGCCAGGGTAGGTAACTTGAACCTTTCCAGCCTTACTTCTAATCAGTCTAGCAGCCCTCCAATGTACACTTTCTATCATTGCCACATATTTATTTTTATAGGTGTAAAAGATATATTAGCTAAACTTATAATGAGGCCTTATCAGTTCAAAAAGTACTGTACGGTAACAGAAAAGAATTCTGATCTTATTGGAAGTGTTCATCTGTACACTTCAAAGGACAGCTTCGAGTCTATGTACAGTGTATACTTCAATGTCTTTTTCAGTCACCTTCAACTGTATTACTTTTTCCCACCCCATTCCTGCTGTTCATATACTGTAGTACAGTACTCTGTACAGTGAACCCTCCATTAACGAGCGGTTCAATTTACGAGATTTCAGTTAACGAATTACCTCCCGTAAGGACTTTCAGTTCTATTAACAAGTGCAAATTCTATCAACGACAGCCTTACATGAAACACATGTTTTGGTGCGCGCATCAGCTGATCGACTTATCCGCCAAGAATCGGTTCTATTTTTACCTTTGTTTCCAGTGGAGTAAACATCGAGAAAGTTGTGCTCTTGAAAATTTTTGCATTTTTACATAAAAAATGTTGGTCAATCTGAAATTTAGTTAACATTTTGATAATATACAGTGTAGTGTTGGTTTAACTAAAAAAATCTGGACCCGGATTTTGGAAGATTCGGACAAAAAATTTGGGGGTTCTGGGCATAGAAGCCTCCCTAAGAAGCATTCCCAAAGCAGGGTGAAGGTACTGTAGTTTTAGGATTAAATTTTTTTTCTGATAAAATGTCAGACTAAAATTAGCAGAATATAACTTGCATTGCTGGAATCCTCTGCCTCATTACACACAATTGCAGGGTCTCAATTGTTTCTCTTACTATTGACAACACAACATTCATATATTGTTTCTCACTTTTGTCTTTTTTTTTCATTTTTGCATTTCTTTATGGTTCTTTATTATTATTATTATGACAGTGTTGTTGTTGTTATTATTATTATTATGTTACTAAAGCAGATAAAGCCAACACAGTAGTGATTTTAAACAAAGATGATTATATTTCTAAAATGAATGACCTTTTATGTGATGCTGCAACATATTCTAAGCTCATAAATAATTCTCTCAACACAGCTAACACCCAGTTCAACAAAAAACTTATGTCTCTATTGAAAGGCAAAGCTACTCTCATTCAACATTTTACTTCAACATCCCCTCCACTGCCATACATGTACGGTTTAATCAAGACCTTCCTCTACTGTATATATATTTGCCTTGTTATGTATTTCTCCTTAGTCTGTACTCACCCCTGAAGATGTGAATTAAACGAAAGCGCTTGGGAACTTCGTGTTATCTTTTTCCTTGTGGTTATCAGCATATATATATATATATATATATATATATATATATATATATATATATATATATATATATATATATATATATATATATATATATATATATATATATATATATATATACAGGGTGTCCCATAAGTTTCCGTACAACGTATCACCAACGCCATTACAAGCATAACTCCAGCTGTGCTTGAACCTGTTCTTCAGCAGTAGAGGACATGCATTGAAGAGTGTTTTCAACAGAATGGTAGTCATGTAGAGCATATTATATAAATAAAAATGGATTTTCATATAAAATTTATTTTTCCTACGTATGGAAATTTATGGGACACCCTGTATATATATACACGTATCTGTGCACATGTGTATAATTTTCAAAACATCAAAAATTAAGAGTAAAACTGTACTCATGATGAATGAAAAGGATGTACAGTACAGGTAGGCTATAATGTACACTATTACAGTAGTTTACTGTACAGTTCATATACTGTACCACTCACCTGAAACAGACGTCCCTCGGGAGAAAATGTGTTCACACCACGGTCATATTCACTACGTGTTAAAAACATCTGTAAAAACAGAACTAAAGTTAGTAAAAATACTTCTTTATTACATGTTAAAGGTTCAGTTTACCTCATCACTTTATATTAATTTTTCAGCTGATTCATAACAATTTAAAGATAAAAAAAAATTATCCCATTGTAAAACTTCACAAATACTGTCCAGTTTATACAGTACAGTAGTTATGGTGGGGAAGAAACATAAACAATTATCCAAATGCCATAAACTTAAAATCTTGCCATTTCAGAATATTGTAAATTTAATTAAAAATCAGGTTGAGGAAATGTTTGTGAGCATCACTGTTTACTCTCTACTACAACAAAGTATTACTGTCCTCAACAGCAAAGGACAATGTACTGAACAACAACTTCATAAATTTTCAGGCACAGGTGTCAAATGTTGTTTTAAAATGTCATTTCAACAGGCCAAGGTTGCAAAGAATCATGATTTTTTTAATAAAAAGGTTTTTGCTTTAAATAATGTTTTTGTTTATTAGGTATAATTTTTTATTTTTTCATCATTTACCAGTACAGTAGCTATACTAATGAAAATGTGATATTTTCTCCATCAAAGGCATTCTGAGGCATAAATAAAAGAAAATTTAAGTACTACAGTATACATTTTTAAGACAAAGGTACAGAGAAAACCCCATAATTCGTATCTCTCTAATTCAAAATTACTCATAATTTGTAATGTTTTGCTGTGACAAAATGTATATGACAAATTTCGTAAAAACAGTATTTGACAAAATTTATAAATACAGTAATACCCCGCTGTACGAGGTTCTTGTTTACGCGTTTCTACATTTACGCGGTACCCCGCCAGAACCGGAATACCCACTTTACGCGGTGCATCTACTCATATACGCGGAGAGCGGCTGGCGGTCTTCTCGCGCCGCGCCATTTTTGGATTGAAACCTCCCGCCATGTTGGGTAAGCGGCGCGTGTAGGTTGCGCAGTGTATGTCTTTGTTGCGTTATCGGTGACTTCATATGACGTATCGGACTGTGATTAGGCCACGCATCCTTACCTCCCTCCCCGCTAGCTGTGATTGGTTTAATGTAATATGACGTGCCCTGCCACGGGAGGGATGAAGCCGCTTGACCTAGCCGCGTCAGTTACACCCCTCCCGGCCACACCGTGTATACCGGTATCTATTATTCCATAAGAATGGTTGCCACCGGACCACCACCACCACAGAAAAACCTTGCATAACTTGGACCCAGCCGCCCTAAGCCAAAGAAGATACGACGTGCCCTAAGTTACGAAGTGAAGTACAAGATTTAGAAAAAGGAACGAGACAGGTTGATTTGGAACGCCAGCATGGCATGAACGAATCTACGATCAGGACAATCAAGAAGGATGCAGCCAAGATAGAAGAACACATGAACATCACAAAGTCTGCAGGTGCTTCAATGATCAAGTATTGCCAGAACATGGTGCGTCTCAAGACGGAGAATTTACTTGTTCACTACTTGATTCGTCAGGCAAGACGGAACATGGCGGTCGACACGCGGTCAGTTCAGGAGTACGCAAGTGAACTGTACGCAGCAGTGTCACGTAAGATGGGAATTGCAGAGCCCAAACCCTTCAATGCTTCCTCTGGTTGGCTGCAGAGGTTTAAGAAGAGGAACAAGATCACCAACATTAACATTGGTGGTGAAGAAGCGAGTGCTGACCATGTTGCGGCTAGGGATTTTCCTCCGTTCTTACGTGACGTTATGGAGGAAGGACAGTACACCGACGACCAGGTGTTCAGCATGGACAAATCCTGTCTGTTTTGGAAAAAGCTACCTTCCAAGACCTTTGTTGTCAAGATTGCCAGCAAGTGTCGGGGCCGGAAGTTGCAGAAGGAGCGCATCACCGTCCTCTTTACCACCAATGCCTCCGGTTCCTGTAAACTCAATTTATCGGTGATTCACACAGCCCGCAAGCCACACGCCTACAAGAACATGACCAAGCTAAATGTCCACTGGCTGACCGCACGTAAGGCGTGGATGTTCTCTACTCTGTCCCTCTCCTGGTTTGATGACTGTTTCGTTCCTGACGTGAAGAAATTCTGTGAGCAACAGAATGTTCCATTCAAGATTTTGGTGCTGCTTGACAACGCACCAGGACACTCGCCCCTACTGTTGGATCATCACCCCAACGTAAAAGTGGTCTTCCTTCCTCCCAACACTACGTCATTAATCCAGCCCATGGACCAAGAATTAATCTGCAATGTGAAAGCTGCATTCTCTGCAAAGAAGTTTAAGCTCCTGAACGACTACAACCTTAGTGTTGTTCAGCATGCAGGACAGGAGGCAGAGGGGGAGGGGGGAGGAGGGGGGAGGAGAGAATTATTGAGAAGAGGTGGAAGGAGAGGAGTCATCCTTCCTAGCCCTCTTTGGTGACTGTCTCACAGACACTTTGTCTGTATGTTCTTTTGTTATCTTTGTAAAGAAGGTATCCAGGGTTGGCTGCTTCAACCTTGATTTCTGGACCTTCCAAAAGTAGTTCATAACATTGTCATTGAACACACTGATGGCCTTTTGCACAGAACCAACATCAGGATGATAATCCTCAGCAAGCTTAGACAGTTTGCTCCAGCAAAAGAACACATCCTTGAGATCTTTGACTGGAATGATGCGGCTTTCCTCCTTGTCCTCCTCCTCCCCTGACTCCTCAGAAGTTAAGCTCTGCTTCAGTGTCTCATTTTCTTCTTTGTGAAGCTCAAGCAGCTCCTCAGTGGACAGCTCCTTACTGTGCTCTTCCACCAACTCCTCAACATCATCATCATCCACTTCCAGGCCCATGGAATTGCCCAGAGCCACAATTTCATGAACAACAGCCTCTTCTTCTAACTCTTTGAAGCCTTCAAAGTCTCTTTGAAGGACACATTCAGGCCACAATGGCCTCCAAGCAGCACAAAGACACCTCACAGTAACCTCTTTCTAGGCTGGGGTAATTAAAAATACAGCATCTGCAATATTGAAGTGACTCTTCCAAAATTCCTTCAAGCTAACATCACTGGAAGAAGTGGACGCAAAACATTTTCTAAACAGTGCCTTTGTGTACAGCTTCTTAAAGTTAGAAATTACCTGTTGATCCATGGGCTGGATGAGAGGTGTTGTGTTGGGTGGCAAGAAGTGCACAGTGATGAAGTTCAACTCCTCTGGCAATTCAACCATCAAATTAGGAGGGTGGGCTGGTGCATTGTCCATCACCAACAAAGCTTTTAGTGGAAGATTATTCTCCCTGAGATATTCCCGAACACTGGGTCCAAACACCTCAATCACCCATTCAGAGAATAAATTCCTGGTCACCCAAGCCTTTGGGTTTGACCGCCACATAACACCAAGGCGGGTCTTCCTAATGTTTTTGAAAGCTCTGGGGTTTTCTGCATGGTACACAAGGAGTGGCTTTATTTTGCAGTCACCAGAAGCATTAGCACAAAGAAGGAGGGTAAGCCTGTCTTTCATTGGCTTATGGCCAGGGACAGAAGTTTCCTCCCTGGTAATGTATGTACGACGAGGCATTTTTTTCCAAAAAGGTCCAGTTGAATACCTGCTGAGAAACAAAGCCTCCCTCTTTAATCACATTCAAAAAAAATGTCATGGTGTTCCTTAGCTGCTTCCTTATCTGCACTAGCAGCATCACCATGTCTCACAACACTATGTAATTTATTTCTTCTTCTGAAACCAGTAAACCACCCCTTGGTACCCCTAAACACTGGCACATCACTATCACTTCCATTGGGAGTCTTGGCTTTAAGGTCCTCAAACAATTGTCTGGCCTTCTCACAAATTATAGCTTCACTAATGCTATCACCTGCCATTTCTTTCTCCTTTATCCACACTAAGAGTAAATTTTCCGTTTCCTCAATCACATTACACCTTGCTTTGCTAAGTCTAGAGATTCCCTTAGCCACTTGCACTGTTTTCAACTCCTCTTTATTCTTTAAAATCGTACATATAGTCAATTTAGCCATCCCATACTCATCACTAAGTTTCGCAATGCTTGTTCCATCCTCACATTTCTTTATGATTTCTTTCTTAGTTTCAAGAGTTATGAGCTTTCTCACTCGCTTTGAACGATTCATTGTCACAATTGTACACTTGTATAACAAAATATTTATACAAATAACTCTATTCCCACATCAAAAGACGAAATTTCAACAATAACAGTGGTGCACTGGCTACACAATGAGACAAAGATGGCGCCTGACGCTCTTGTTGTGGGTCGCGGTACAACAATATTCATGCGCCAGACGAAATAGTCCGGTATTCATCCGCGTTCGTTGTAGGAGTTGCGTTCGTTATAGCATTCTCAATTTTATAGGTAAAACCGTTAGTTATAGGAATATTCGTAGTAGGATCCGTTCGTTATAGCATACCCCACTGTACTTTGTCCAAAGTGTAATAACCAGTGTACACTGCGTGAAGAACAACATATTTGGCCGTGTCGCAATAGTTTTCTTCGGCCATAAAGTAAAAAAACGGAAAAAGTGCAACTTTTCTGTTAGTGATTATAAAGGATCATTGGATTCATTTACAGATTAAGGTAAGATGTGGGGGGCATGAACAATGGTTAGATTAGGTTAGGTTTTCTTGGTTGGTTGGTTGGTAATATAAATTATATTAGGTTGGGTTAGGTTAGGTTTTCTTGGTTGGTTGGTAATATAATTTGTTATTTATTAAAAAAAATTCAAAATTTTTCCATTATGAATGTTTGGTGGGGCAGTGTGATACTATAAATTGACCAAAAATAGGTTTTTCCTGTGTATTTTGATGCATTTCAAACGAATTTGATATTCATTTCCACCGGAAATCACACGTTTTTTAAGATACCCCCTCCTCCCCACCAAACACTCATAACGGAAAGTTTGAATTTTTTTTTTAATAAATAAATTATATTACCAACCAACCAACAAAACCTAGACCCCCGTCAGAGGCCTGGAGCGATGCGTGAGCAGGTGGTCAGACCATCTCCGCCATAAGTAAACAAATCATAGCAACACTTGTGACTGAGCGAAAGTAATAATCTTTCTAAATTAATATCGCGGTTATCCTTAATTTCCGGAGGAAGTATCATTGAATAAAAATGGGTTAAAATTGTGTAAACATAACGAGATACATATTTTTAATATGGAAATAAAGACTGGTGTGATACTATAAGTTCACCCTCTATATTAACCTCATTTTCTCCCCCACCCAAAAACCTCGATTTCCCAGACTCTTCCCCACTAATGTTGGGGGCCAAAACGAGCAATTTTCGCCCAAAATGAAGGTCAGATTCGTTTAAAACACACCAAAATACACTGGAGTAAAATATTTATCAAACCCTAGGGACTCATGTCTTAAAGTAAATATTTACCGTTTTACCAAACTATGTAGGTAAACTATTCTGGGTGACCTCAGACGATTATCAACCACCAAGTCTCTTCACCTCACACACCACCACAGCCTCCTCAATTAAGCCATTGCATTTCTCCATAAACAACAAAATACCGAGTTTATCAAGAATAAGATTTAATAAACTTGGTGCACCGTTGAGTCTGGGAATGACCAGCACAACCTTCCTCATGTTGTCACCTCTCACATCACCCACCAATTGTTCCTCGAAAGTACCCTAAAATAATATCACATTCGCCTCAATTAAGGTAATTCTCAATAGGCAACATGAATCCCAGAGTTTGTCATAAATTTACCTTGACAGAGGATGACAAGGGAGAGCGGCAACAGAGATGACTTGTGTTTTGGCCGGTGTTTACCTCACGCTCGAAGGCTCATGTTATAATAATTTACACGAACAAGACCAATGGCTATCATTTATTCTTATAGCAACAATTACCAATTAAATGTGCGCTAATTAATCTAGAACTATAAGATAATCTATTAAGTGAATTGCATTTTCTTCACATAAGCTAACTCCAAAAAACAAACGGTTAGTCAAGCGGTTACGTTCCTGATAAATTTTGAACATTAATTAACTTACATGCCTAGCTGACATTTAATAATTATGGTATAATGCATATATATAATAAAATTAATATTAACTTAGATTTATATATCTCAGAAAATTATATAATTTATATTTTAATTTGGTTTCATACTTTAGTTTTATCTGACACAGTTTCAATTATACCAATAAATTTAGGAAGCTCTCTGCGTCATTATACAGTAGTCCTCTGAAAATATCATTATTTTATACTAATTTTCTTCACTAAGCTTTAACTCTGTGCTGAAGTTAAAGGAGATTAGAGTAGAATATTTGAATATTGTTAATAGATGTACCAGAACTATATTAGAATACTCTACTTACACAGGGGTTCTCAACCGGGGGGGAATTCCCCCCCTCAGGTTTTCAGGGGGGGGAAAACTGATACTATTATGGAAAAAATAAAGGATTTTCAGTATTATACGCATATTATTTGGAATGCACTTTTTGAGGCAGACAATCTTGGAAAGGAGGGGGAATGACATTCTGACATGGTGAAAGGGGTGTATGGGGGCAAACAAGGTTGAGAACCACGGTATGTCAGATTGTGGCAGTGATTAGCACCTAAAGGTGTGTAGTGGATTTCTCCCCTACAAACGCTGTTTGCCGCTGAGTAGCCGACCCCGCGAATTCCCCAGTGTATGCCTCGTGGTCTGGGTCAACCAGTGCCAACATACATCACGGAGGTCAACTACTAAGCCACGCCTACCCCCGCTATTTAAGACCTGACCTCGTGGTGACCTCTCTCTTCTAGCTACAGCCGCAGCAAGCTACACCTCCTCCTCCTCCTCCACCTGCCTGGCGGTCCTCGCTCCCGCCGGCGAGCATGACGACCCACAAGCTGGTCCTCCTCTGAGCATCCTCACCAACCAGCTCTCTCTACATCACGCTTGTAACCACGCTGCCACTTCCCAGCACCAAGCTGCATTGTACATCCAATACAACATGTATACAGAGAGCACATTGTGAGTTTCCTTTCTCCATCCCATCCTGAGTGTGAACCCAAACATCCTGTAGTGGAATTCTCCCCTACAAACGCTGTTTGTCGCTGCCTAGCCGACCCCACCAATTCCCCAGTGTATGCCTCGTGGTCTAGGTCAACCAGCGCCGCCATACACCACGGAGCGGGGGTCAACTGCTAAGCCACGCCTACCCCCGCTATTTAAGACCTGACCTCGTGGTGATCTCTCTCTTACTACCTACAGCCGCAGCCAGCAACACCTCCTCCTCCGCCGCTGCCTGGCGGCCCTCGCTCCTCCGCCTGCCTGGCAGTCCTCTCTCCCGCTGGCGAGCATGGCGACCCACAAGCTGTCCTTCTCTGAGCGTCCTCACCAACCAGCTCTCTCTACATCACGCTTGTAACCATGCTGCCTTCCCAGCACCAAGCTGCATTGTACATCCAATACAACATGTATATAGAGAGCACATCGTGAGTTTCCTTTCTCCAATCCATCCTGAGTGAACACCAAACAATCTCATACCCCACAATCCCATACCCCACAAATGGTGACCCCGGAGATTCGCACTCACACAGGATGGAGGAGAAACAGATCAATCTCCCAGTCTTCAAGCAACATGGAAGACTGGCTTATCCACCCAGAGGCAGCTCTCATCGGCTCTACAGCTACTGTCTCTACACCGCAGGTATTCCCTGCTAATGTCCTGCACCCTGCTGCTGTCGTGGACCCAGCTGCTGTCACGAGCCCTCATCCGCTTCTGCTGACGCAGCCCCTGCTCCTGACCCAGGCCCACACACCCCAGCAGGCGCATCTGACGACTCTGTACCTGCCGTGAGGGAAGCACAACATTCATCGCCTCCACACACCCTTTTTCTCCCTCTCTACTCCCACGGATAGTGTGTATCTAGACAGTTGTCTCCAGCGGCCGGCTCATCCACGCCATCGCCGTTATGGCTCACATGTGGCATGCACCGCCCGTTCTGCCTCACATGTGCCATGCACCCCTGCAGACAACAAATCTCCTACACCGCCTGGAGGGAAGGAGAAGTATTGTAGTGGATTTTTCCCCTACAAACGCTGTTTGTCGCTGAGTAGCCGACCCCACGAATTCCCCAGTGTATGCCTCGTGGTCTGGGTCAACCAGCGCCGCCATACATCATGTAGGTCAACTACTAAGCCACGCCTACCCCCGCTATTTAAGACCTGACCTAGTGGTGACCTCTCTCTTCTTCTAGCTACAGCCGCAGCAAGCTACACTTCCTCCGCCGCTGCCTGGTGGCCCTCGCTCCCGCCGGCGAGCATGGCGACCCACAAGCTGTCCTCCTCTGAGCATCCTTACCAACCAGCTCTCTCTTTCGACCTACACCAACCAGCAAGCAACACCTCCTCCTCCTCCGCCTGCCTGGCGGTCCTCGCTCCCGCCGGCGAGCATGGCGACCCACAAGCTGTCCTCTGAGCACCCTCACCAACCAGCTCTCTCTACATCACGCTTGTAACCACGCTGCCACTTCCCAGCACCAAGCTGCATTGTACATCCAATACAACATGTATACAGAGAGCACATTGTGAGTTTCCTTTCTCCAACCCATCCTGAGTGTGAACCCAATGTAACGTACCCCATAAATGGTGACCCCCGGAGATTCGCACTCACACAGGATGGAGGAGAAACCGATCAATCTCCCAGTCTTCAAGCAACATGGAAGACTGGCTTATCCACCCAGAAGCAGCTCTCATCGGCTCTACAGCTACTGTCACTACACCGCAGGTTAGACACCCTAGAGCAGCACTACTTCTCTAAGCAGACACCAGCTCCTCTTCCTGCCCCAAGCACCACGTCCAACCGACCCCAGCACACACGTCCTGCCTCAGACGCCGACACCCGACCCAGCTGCTGTCACAAGCCCTCAGACGCTTCTGCTGACGCAGCCCCTGCTCCTGACTCGGGCCCACACACCCCAGCAGGCGCATCTGACGTGCTGCACAGATCCACATTAATAGAAGTAATGATATCAGAAATAGAAACAGATCTAGTTTGAGAGTTAGCAGGAAGGGGAAAATGTGTAGAAGAGTGAAGAGTAGAATCATCAGCGTAAGAATGGATAAAATTAGTTGTAGTGTGAAGTAAATCATTGATAAAAAGAAGGAAGAATGGAAAGTGGCTTATGTGAGTCCCATCTTCACGGAGGGCGATCGTCACTCCACGAACAACTGTAGACCGGTGAGCCTGACCAGCATAATATGTAAAGTACTTGAGGGTATTATCAGAGATGCCGCAATGGAACATCTAATACTAAACAACCTTGTTAAGGATTGTCAACACGTTTTTATGCCGGGGCGCTCCTACCAAACACAATTGCTCAAGGTATTGGATATTTGGACCCATATTCTGGAATGCTGTATTGGAGGAAGAGAAGGAGCTGTTTATGTCATACTGTATAAAACTACTTTTTGGTTAATATCTGTGTTTAGTGTTTATTAAAGTAGTTTTGAAAAAGTTTATGCATATTTTTTTGCCTCCCTAACCCAACTAATTATTTTCATTTAACCATGGTCACTGACATAAATTGCATCATCCCTTGTCATATACTATTGGTCAAGTTAAGCTAGGATACCATAGGCTTTGCAAAGGGCTTCTATGGGCCTAGATCGTAGAATAGCTCATTTCATATGACTTGTGGAGGCCACAAAATCTGAGACAAGTTAGTGTGTGTGTGTGTGTGTGTGTGTGTGTGTGTGTGTGTGTGGAGCATCACATTCCTGTCTTCCACAGTTGGCACATCTCCCAGTGAAAACTTTCAGGATGCTATCTGACATACAACTTTGTGCCTCCAGTGTACATGATGTATATAGAGCACAGAGCTAATTTTATAATTATACATATTGATAAGTAAATAACATAAGGAAGTGTAAGTGGTAGCAGACATACCGGCATTCTGAACGATACTGCATGCATGGCAATGCCTGACTGCCTGGGACCTTTAAACCAGGTAAGGAGCTTATAGGTGTGGTTTTCACTGTTACCACATGACTCTGGTGGTCCTTTGGGGTAGTTTTAGCCAGCACAAAGAATGTAGAAAATCTTTGACCATCTGGGCATGACTCAGGTTAAATCAATTGACTATCTATGGGTCAGGACTATAATTTGCAATTTGATGTTAAAATGCTTTCTGGTACCTAACCTGCGAATTATACTACTGTATAATTTGGGCTCCAATGAAATACACACCCAAATCACAGAAAAAACATTTGTCACTTATTATTAAAATCTTTCAAGTTGTGTGCCTATAAAGTTTCTATAGGCTTAACACCAAGGGAAGGCACCTGTGTTATATATAAAGGGACTAATACCAGAAGTGGCACCAAAGATTAAAAATTTATCTCATTTACAGACAAGTAAACATTCAAACAACATTTCTATGAACAAAGAATTATAAGCCCGTACAAGTTAAAGATGCGAGTTGTGTTTGGATTATTTCTAATTGTTGTTTCTGCCCTTTATCACACTTCACCAATCTCATCAACTATTTTCTCATGCATATACAGTAAAAAAGTGATTATAGGATCTCTGAATAATGGGTTCTTTTTTTATATAATTGCAGAGCAGTTTTAGCAGACCAGTAAAACTCAAGAGAGCATTTTCTTTAGTATCACCCTCACCCAACCATGTGGCAGTGATGTGCTGCTGACAGACTGGGAAGGAAGAGGTGTGCTGATTAATGGTTTAAGTTAGGTTAGGTTAAGAACTACATGTGCTCTGCCTGTGCTCGCTCTCAGTCTACCATGTCATCTCACATTTGTTTGTACTTTCCTGTCAAAATGAATAACTTTACTTTTTTGTTATATAATTTGATGTACAGGTTGTTTAAAGCTTATCTGATTAAAGAGCAGAAATTTCTAGAAATACCAAAAGATTTACTATATCACCCAATAAATACACACGTTTAATCCTGAAAATTGTATTTCCTTGTATTTTGCATAACCATTTACTTCCATTAACAAATACATTTATCAGATGGCAAGGAACTTTTTTTTTTTCCTGTGACAGAAGAATTTTATAATAGTTCACTATGAGGTCTGCTGTTGTTTATTATCACCTGAAGATTAGATGCTCCAGCTTATTTCACCAGATGAACATCTCAACATTACCTGCAGAGGGGGTTGGGTTGGGTTAGCATTAGGGTATTTTAATCATCGGGTGAAATAAGCTAGGGTGTCTAATGTTCAAGTTTTATGATCCATGTATATATGAACAAAGAGGTTTCTTTTCAGCCTATACATGTCCCTCTCCAAAATAGCACAAGGTGGCTGAGAGCAACACACTTACATTGGCCATTCTGCAATGAAAAAAAAAAAAAAAAAAGTTACATCCTTTAAATATGGATTACATGAAGATAAGCCCCAGCTTATATCACCTTATGATTAAAAGCCCTACCACTACCTGGGTTAAGTTAGGTTAAATTAATATTCTTTGGGTTTTCATTTGCAAATTTGCATATGATCTAAAACAGCGCTTTAGGGTTTCCTAAGCAAATTTGCATATGAAAAAAAAAATTTTTTGCGAGCATGACGCACATTTGGCAATGTCACCACAACTGGTAACTATGTAGACTGCACTCCAAGGTCACTACACCAGTCTCCCTTTTATGTTTAAAGGACCTAGGATATAACATTGACCCACATTTCTTGTGCATCACAGTGATTTCATTTATCCATAACAGTGTTGTGAAAGTTTTGAACCATGCCTCATGTTGCTGGGGAGGGTGGAGGGGTGGGAAAACGTAAAAAGTGAAAGGAGATTGCACCATGTGGTGATAGTGTGGTGCCTCCTGATGCCTCTCCCAAGCAAAATAGTGTATTAATTTTTTCACAACTTTTCTTCTATAACTATTTTTTTCTTAAATATGCAGTGGGCGTGGGTAAACAAAGTGAAAAGTTACAGAGAAATAGGCAGAGAGTTAAAACCTAAAAGTGACAAAGATAGGACTCAGATAACGACTAACTTTAATATCTACTACGCATACAGTAAAAGTATGAGAAAAAAATGGATGAAATTAGGGTGTTAGTATGTACCAAAAAAATTTATATAATAGCATTCACCGAAACGTGGATAAACCTGACTCACGTGAGTTACCTGTTGAATACCAAATTAAATTTACAAATTATTCCAAACCGATAGGCAGATTAGGGGTAGCAATCTATCAGGGATAATCTGAAGTGTGAAATCAATAAGGAAACAAAAACTGAACTGAATACAGAAACAATCTGGATAGAATTAACCGATGGTAGGGAAAAAGTTAATCATGGTAGTAATATATAGACCTAATCTCGACAGGGTAAATGAGCACCTTATTTGGGATGAAATGTGCAGGGCATCCAGACATAGCAAAGTCTGTATAGTAGGCGACTTTAACTTCAGTAAAAATAGATTGGACCAACCTTACAGGTCACTCAGTCAGAGGATTTTCTTGAAACATTTTAGGACTATTTCCTAAGTTAGCATATAGCTGAATCCACCCGGGGTAATAATACACAATAAGTCCTCGTTTAACGTTGCCCTCGATAAAGTTGTTTCGTTATAACGTTGCTACTCTTTGGATACCAGTAATTCAGTTAACGTCCTGACGACTCAATATGACGTCGTTTTTTGCGTCGTCACGAGCTACTTTTTACGGCCCACCACCCTGTCTCGTCTTGGCGCGCTACCTCTCACTCGCGGAATGTCACAGCGTCCCCAAGAGGGGTCAGTCTTTGTTAGGCTTCCACAGCATTCATATTTGTTTAATTGTTTTTGCTCTAATACTGTACTCTAACCATTTGAAATGGCTTCCAAGCACCCATCAAGTGCTACTGATGCTAGTGTTGTGAAGAAGCAACGTAAGACCATTGGCCTTGCTACGAAAATGGAGGTTTTAAACCGGGAGGAGGAGCCACCTGCCGGGTCTCAGTGACTCTCCACCCTGCTCCCCCCCCCTCCCGCCCTACTCCTCCGCTCCACCACCTCTGTCCATCAGTGAGTACAATACAAAATGATTTAGTTTATTTATATATACAGTACATGTATACTATTTTCTATAAAATTGTCCATTGAATTTTTGTATATGTAATGTATTTCATGGGGCAATGGGGGCTCAGGAATGTAAATCCCGTATTTTATATTTCTTATCAGGAAAATTAATTCCGTTAACGTTGAGGTTTTCAGGAACGGAACCACGACATTAAGCGAGGACTTGGTGTACTTGATTTAGTTTTGTCAAACAGAGAAAACCTTATTAGTTATGTCAAGGTAAGGAATAAACTAGGAGTAATGATAAGTAGGAATCTTAAACCAAGACAACAATGTGTATTTGCTTGAAACAAGGCTAATAATGTACTTGGGTTCATACAAAGGAGTGTTGGTTACAAGACTAGCAAGGTAATCCAAAACTATATCTTGCACTTGTGAGATCTCACTTGGATTATGCGGTTCAGTTCTGGTCACCGTACTACAGAATGGATATTGAATCCCTAGAAAGAATTCAGAGGGAATGAAAAGACTAATCCCGAGCATTAGAAATTGAGTACAGAGACAGGTTAAAGCATCTTAATTTGCACTCCCTCGAGAAATGTAGAGTGAGGCGATATAATCGAGGTGTATAAATTGAAGTCAGGGTTAAACAATGGTGATATAACAAAGGTACTCAAACTATCCAACCTGGAGTGAACTCGTAGCAAGGTTTTAAATTAGACAAATTTAGATTTAGGCAGAAGATAGGTAAACATTGGTTTGGAAATGGAGTAGTAAATGAGTGGAACAAGTTACCAAACATCATCATTAACTCGAATACACTGGATAGCTTCAAATATAAGTTGGTTGGATACATGAGTGATAGGGGTTGGGCATAAATGGGACTGCACAGTACGGACCAATAGGCATGCTGCAAGTTTCCTCCATTCTTATGTTCTTATAATGGAATAAAGTTCACATTGCAATCACATGAAATAATTAAGGTATAAAGTTATGTATAAACATTTTCATTAGGCATCAACAAAAATTTGGTGTTCTACTCATGCTTACATATCGAAAAAATTATTTTATCAAGACTACTCATATAAAACTGTTAGTTGATAATTTATTTAAAATGCAACAAATCCCACCTTTTTATCTCAAATAGCAAGCTTGCTACGACTCATTACGTACACTTATCTCTCATGTGGTGAAGTGAGTAACAGGCCAAACCACGAGCGTCTTACGCGAGAGCGCCTACCAAAATCCAAGATTGTTAAGTTATCCCCTTGGGTATGAGGGGTCACTGTGCTAAATAAAATAATTTGGGGTTAGCCATATAAAATATCAAAAGTGGTGTTCAGTAATGAAGGGGTTATGGTAAGTAAGATTAATGTTAGGTTTGTTAATCTTAAGGTGATATAAGCTGGGGGCTTACCTTTATGTAATCCCTAATAATGTATGTTGAATACAGTACCTTTCACTTTACCTCCTGAATGATTTCTAAACACGGATAATACAAGTACAGAACTTAACCAACATTTTAAAGAATAATAGTTTACAGAAAATTAATAGAGTTGTGTTTCATTTCTCAGTTGAAACAATTATATATGAACTCGTTTATCCTCACAAAAATAAAACTACACCGTATTAAAGAACTGAATAGGATGACTTAACTCTGAGTACAATGTCATCATACTCAAGGAAATTGGTCATCATATTCAAGGGGCTGAGACATTGTACTCAAAGAATTAAGTCATTGCACTCAAGGGGTTAAATTATCACACTCATGAGGTTAAGGCCTACAATTGTGACCTGGAAGACCATGACAAAACCTTATATCCTCTCCCTACATACTGTATAATGGTCAACATGTTTGTTTTTATCAAGTCTCCAGTGCTGTTTACTAATGAGATATACAAGCAGCAGCACCTTGAGCCTTGTAAGAGCAGCCCCAAGAGAAGTAATCCCCAGAAGAGTAACCCCCATAGAAATAATTCCACAGAAGTAACCCTCAAGAATACCCCCACAAAACAGCAGACCACAGGAGAGAGTGAGAAAATGGTTAGCATTGCTGTGGTGTTGACAGCCAGGTGTATGCCACAGATAATAACATTCCCTGGATTATGCCTGGCCACAGGTATAAATTATAGTGTTGTGGACATAAATGCAACTTGCTGACCTGTGATACCTTGTCTTCACGTCCAGTCAGTATACTGCTCCACATAACAAAAAAAATCCACCGAGAACAACAGAACAGAATACAGAAGAAAGACATTAAGAGGAACCAAGGAACAAATATAACTTGAAAGAGAGGATAGAAGAAAGAATAAACATGAATAAGAGAAAACCTTAATATTCAAGAGGTGGCAGACTTGGGCATACCAATAAGGCTACACATGTAATAAACTCCTTAAGGACTCAATAAATACCCTGTACATAAAAAACTAAAGCTCTTGTACCTTCATAACAAATTTAACAATAGAAATAGTGTGCAGTAAATAAAATATTGTTTTCTTGGCAGTTTGGATATAGTAATGAGCATTATATACACACACACACAGTATAAGGCCAAATAATAAGACATCATTATCACATTTAAATTATATTCAGATGAAACTCAACAAGCAAATGGTTACAAGACTTCAGCTGCTGTAAAACTCTCATTAAAAGAAACAAACATAATATATTCAATCAATAAAAACAATGAAATATAATTGCTTGAACTCACAGTCAAATTTCTGCAGACCAACAACGTCAGACTTTCTCACTAAAACTTTATCGGAGACTTGCACAAACTTTAAGACACATTTGCATTTTATTTTTCATCGGGGGGACACAGTCATAACCAAGGCTGGTCAACACAATAAAAATATTATATCACCAGACCTCTTGAGTGAAAAATTCCACATTAGAGTTTTAGAGATGAAATATATTTTAATTTACTTCCTATAGAATATGAGAGCCTATCTAAACTCTTTACAAAACTCTGCTCCACTTTTTCGCACACTGCTTTCCCTTCGATGTGACTCGTGAGGGTAGAGCTGATGTCCACGGAGGAGTAACCCTTCTGAATGTTTTCCTCGGTCGTTGACTTGATGGACTTGTACTTGTCGGAGGTGGCTTTGTCTAACTTCTGTAGGTGAGCCGTGAGGGAGGTGATGTAGCTTGAAAACTGGGGTATTACCTCAGGCTGTAAGAGAACACCATCGATTGAGCAAACTGTGTCATCAAACAACAACATTCTGTATAGGGGCATATTGAATACAATTGAGTATAAATACCCAAATATGTAACTCAGACACAAGATTTTCATTGTATGTTTAAAGAAAGAACCAGAGATTAAACCATCAAGGGATCCGGATCCCTATTTTCAACCAATATACAAATGGTACAAACTAGAGTAAAAGAGTGATGATATGAATACAGATATACGTATAGAAATTATAACCGATATACAGTCTCTCCTCGACTTACGATGGGGTTCCGTCCCGATGACCAAGTCGTAAGTCGAAAAGGCGAAAATAATACATAGAAATTCTAAAATGGGTGTCTCTTTTTCTTCTCAGCACCACGAGAATTCTCACTTTTACATTTGCCAAACATTTTTAAAGGGAATTACAAACAAAAATTTTGTCAGGACACAGCGCGATCACTAACGTCAAGACTCGAAAATACATAATTTGAAAAATATTTTATACAACCACGGTGGTCGTATGTCCGGGTTGTCATAAGTCAAGTACAGTATAGTCTGCATTTACGCGGATTTGGTTTACGCGTTTGGTCATTTACGCGACACCGTGCCAGAATGAAAATTTTAAGTTACGCGATTCATTCCATCATTTACGCGGGAAGCAGCTTGGGGAGGGTGAACATTAGGTCGCTCTTACATTATCGCCTACGTCATATGCCGTATCGGACTGTGATTGGGCCAGCATCCTTACCTCCCTCCGCCGCTAGCTGTGATTGGTCTAATGTAACATGACGTGCCCTGCCACCAGAGGGAAGAAGTCGCTGACCTAGCCGGGCCTGTCTCATTGTTCTCAGTTCTCCACGTATACTATTCTCTATTGTGCCCGCTATTCCCCTCACAATGGCTTCCGCTGGACCCCCACCACCCCCGAGAAACCTTGAACTACCTGGACCAAGCCATGGTTATGTGAAGGAAGTCATCGAGTAGGGGGAGAAAATCAAGCGCATCATTGACAAAGACACAGTCAAGCATCGGCAAGAAGTGTCTAATAACCTTCTGTCGAAAATTATGGAGCCGTATGTCCAGATGTACCACGACAACATCAATGCTAGTCTCGCCCGCAACCCACCACAACCACAGCCAGCCCAAGTCAGTAATAGTGACAGTGAGGATATGGACTTTGAGGGTTTGTCAGGGAGGCCCTGCAAACCTCTGTGAATAGTGATAGTGATTCACTGGAAGGCCACTAATCTGTCCTCTGCCTCGGAACCAGCCGCCATCCATGAGTGCTGACCCATCTCTTCTACTAACGTAAGTGTTAAACACCTTTAGATTTGGAATTTTTTATTTAGATATGTGTGTGTCAATACCATCATAAAATTATAATGTTATTTTTACTACAAGGTACGTATTGTGTCGGAAAAAATGGAGTTTGGGAGTCGGCCCAGTCTCTATTTCAATTAATCCCACGTGTTCTGTTATTTCGTTTACGCGTTTCTCGTTTTATGCGGACCTGCACGGGTTCAATTGACCGCGTAAATCCAGACTATACTGTATGTCGTGGAGTACCTGCAATAATAATAATAATAATAATAATACTAATACAGTGATCCCTCGGTTAACGAACACCTCGGTTAACGAGATTTCGGTTAACGAATTACCTTCCATAAGATTCTTAACTTCGGTTAACGAGCATTCCCTCGATTAACGAATTCCTTACGAGTGGCCCTCAACATGTTTTCGCTTGCACACCAGCTGTCATATTAGTCGGCCAATACAGTAATCGGTTCTAGGGCTTAAATTCCTTACCATTTTAGTTCATATCAAGAAGGTTGTACTATTCAATCATTTTAAAAGTTTTATATTAAATTTTTTAGTCATTTTAACAATTATTGTACATAATTGAAGTACAGTCGGCCCTTAACATACGCGGGGGTTAGGTTACAGAGATTCCCGTGAATGCTAAAAATCGTGTACTATTGCCCCCCCCCCCACCCTCGCTTTATGCGGTCCCACTTTACGCGTTTCCACGTTTACGCGGTACCCTGCCGAAACCAGAATGCTCACTTTCCGCGGTGTGTGTACCCTTTTACGCGGAGAGCGGCGCGAGCAGGGTGCGCACAAGGTCGCCCAGTCATCAAAACATTACCGAGTTCTTCACCCGCCACCCACCACAGCCGGCCCAAGTCAGTGATAGAGAGGATATGGACTTATATGGACTTTGAGGGGTTTGACAAAGAGGCCCTGCAAGCCTCTGTGGTGGATAGTGATACAATTGATACAAGTGATACAAGTGAGGGCCAATAATCTGCCCTCTGCCTCGGAACCAACCCCACATCCTCGTGTGCCCAGCCATCTTTTCTACGAATGTAAGTATTAAAAAACCTAATATTATTGATATTTCTCTTAATTATTAATTGTGTGTGCATACCATCATAAAATTAAGAAGTTATTTTGACTACAACGTAGGTATTGTGTCTGAAAAAGTGGAGTTTGGGGTCAGCCCGGTCTCTATTTCAATTAATCCCATATGTTATGTTGTTTACTTTAAGCGTTTCTCACTTTACGCGGGCCGCCGTGGGTTCAATTGACCGCGTAAAGTGAGGGTTCACTGTAGTTTAATTAATGTTTCTGAATTTCTTTTTGAATGAATTATATTGTTTATGTGTGCAAATTGAACAATACAATTCATTAATAATACGAAAAATATTAAAACACGTCATTGTTTTTGTTGTTTACAAAACCAGGGACTGATTGGTTCTACATATAAAACTGAAGAAAATAAGACCCTGGTTGTAGCTGTGGTAAAATTTGTATGATTGTTTTAAGTAATGTTATTTAATGTTAATAAATGGAACAATGGAAGTAGCTAACAATTAAGGGTAAAAAAAAAGTGAGATCACATATGTAAGTGAGCACATGTGTAAACATATCATCATTACTCTTCATAAGAATATGAAAGCAACACTTATTTACTGTTCATATATATTTTAATTAATGTTTTGGAATTAAAAAAAAATATCTACCCATCAGTGGTAATAAAGTTGAAAACATACGGATAGCCAATGTTGTTGTGTGTGTGTTTTTACTTGGATGACGAAGGTGCATTTAAATTTGGAAGATTTTAATTTTGTGGGGTTTTTACAGTCTAAATGGGTATCCAAATATGAGAGCCTACTGTTAATAGGTGTCCAAATATGAGAGCCTACATATAAAGAAACAAACATTCCTGCATTTGAGACCAGCAGACAACCTTTAGCAATTCCTCAATAGATGGCACTGCCGCACCACTGCCATTAGTAAACAAACCACACAGCAGCAAGGGGTTTTTTTTCTGCAATATATCAACAATATTAGTTAAATCAATAGTTTTATAGTACTGTATAGAGAATACTTGTAATTGTTAAGTGATCTCTGGTATTTACACCTCGCTTGGTTGGCAAATTAACACTCAGAAGACTGAGATTTTTGTCCAGCCCATTGTGGTGTTGCTGGAGAAGTGATTGTGGTGGTGTTGGGGAAGTGATTGTGGTGGTGCTGGAGAAGTGATTGTGGTGGTGCTGGAGAAGTGATTGTGGTGGTGCTGGAGAAGTAATTGTGGTGGTGCTGGAGAAGTGATTGTGGTGGTGCTGGAGAAGTGATTGTGGTGATGCTGGAGAAGTAATTGTGGTGGTGCTGGAGAAGTGATTGTGGTGGTGTTGGGGAAGTGATTGTGGTGGTGCTGGAGAAGTGATTGTGGTGGTGTTGGGGAAGTGATTGTGGTGGTGTTGGGGAAGTGATTGTGGTGGTGTTGGGGAAGTGATTGTGGTGGTGCTGGGGAAGTGATTGTGGTGGTGTTGGGGAAGTGATTGTGGTGGTGTTGGGGAAGTGATTGTGGTGGTGCTGGAGAAGTAATTGTGGTGGTGCTGGAGAAGTGATTGTTGTGGTGCTGGAGAAGTGATTGTTGTGGTGTTGGGGAAGTGACTGTGGTAAAAGGATAAAGTTAAGTTATTTGACAGGTAGTGTGGTATTGGTGGTCATCATGTGTGAGGTGATGCGGGAAGCCACCAGTCCCTCCTCGCACCCATGTTTGGCCGTATTAATGCCCTTTACAACTGATCGACAAATAAAATAAAATTATCATTACGTCAGTTGTATTTTAACATAAATGAAGTAAAAATCCTGAGCACCGGACCACCTGAGTAACATGTATGAATAACTACATATATTGGGAAAAAAATAAAATTAAAAAAATATCTTGCAGGCCAATAGAAAGTAAAGAGGCTGCTCACCATTATCACAGGCTCTTTTCTCTTCTTGTTCCTCTTGGACACGGAAGCTTTTATAGGTTTAAGGATGGTAAAACAGCAGCCGAGGAGGATGGCAATAATGCCTAGTGTCTGGGCCAGGTGGTGCAGCTGTGTTAAGGCTGGAGGGTTGACACCAGGCATGATCTTTGGGGTGATGGTCTGTAGAGTATCCAGGTGCTGCATGTGTGACCTGATCATCTCCTCTATCTCCTCTCGAGTCTCCTTGATGATTTCACTCGACCAACTTTCCACACCTAGGGAGAGCAGAGTCTTAATATATAATAGTTCACTGGCAGACAGTCTTAATATACAATAGTTCACTGGCAGACAGACTTAAAATATACAATATTTAACTGGCAGAGAGTCTTAATTTACAATAGTTCACTGGCAGACAGACTTAACACTCTTAGGTTTTGGTAGGTGCTCTCCCGTGAGACGCTCGTGACTGCACCACACGAGAGATAATTGTACATAATGAGTCATAACGAGCCTGCTATTTGAGATAAAAAGGTGGGAGTTGTTGCATTAGCATTGTAAATTATCTAAAAAAAATTTTATAGGAGTAACCACGATAATATACTGAATTTTTATATGTAAGCACAAGTAGAATATAAAATTTTTGTTTATGCTTCATGAAAAGGTTTATACAGCACTTTATACCTTAATTATTTCATGTGATTGCAATATGAACCTTATTCCATTATAATGTGTACATATTTAGGAAAAATAGTCATAAAAGAAATATTGAGAAAACTTAATATTTTGCTAGATAATAGTGGTGTGAATTTTGTGTTCTGATGAGTTCGCCCAGGCTGAGAGCAGATTATTAATTTTTCCCTCTGAGCGTAAAAGATAATTGTACCTTTTAAATCATAGCATGTTGAACGGCCACACAAACTATCACTTACTTTAGAAGAGCCAGGAACACTGGGAGGGACACCATACTATCACCATATGGTGTAATCTCCTTGCGCTTTTTACATTTTCCCACCCCTCCACCCTCGTCAGCAACCCGAGGCATAGCTAAAAACTGTCACAACACTGTTATGAATAAATGAAATCACTGTGATGCACGAGAAATCAGCAGAAGCTGCAAGAAAATATGTGAGAAATGTGGGTCAACGTTATATCCTAGGTCCTTTGAACACAAAAGGGAGACTGGTGTGGTGACCTTTGTTTAGGCAGGCCAACAAGTTCAAGGGTTCATGGCAACACCCACGATCCAAACACTGACATCTCATCGGCTACATCATTGTCAGAGAAAGAGATCGCCGAGATGTCCTCATCACCCGAGCCATGCGAGGCTCAGACCACTGTAACACTGATCATCAGAGCCAAGCTCTCGCTTCATGTTGCCCCAAAATGGTGAAGGCAACAAGCCTCCAGAAGAGATTTTAACACTAAGCGCTTGGAGGATCCAGCAGTAGCACATTTTTATATTTATTATTATTATTTTTTTATGGGGATTAGCCCACCAGGGCACAGGTCACTGACCCACATCAGGGCCTGGAGGGCAAAAAATTTAATAATAATGATAATAATCATAATAATGATGATGATGATGATGATGATGATGATGATAATAATAATTCATTCTAAAAAATAAAAAATTGAAAATAATAAAATAATAACATAATACCTGTAATAATAATTGTATGATATGGACACGAAGTAGTACCTTAAGCTGTGTATTCATATATTACTCTTATTAATTAGGTATAGTAAAGTATTACAGAACATGTATTAATTCTATGTAATATTCCCATTTATTGTGCACCATGTTATGTATATAAATTATCATATTTATACTTTATGTATTCAGCTTGTGAATGCTGGCATCTGTACATGCAAGCGAGCAGTAATACATAGAGAGAGTGAAGACTGCCAGTCCTTGTGGTGCGGAAGTGAGCTTCTTGGTCCCCTTGTATATATCTCCCGTACGAGAATAAGAACCTACTTTTAAGAGAACAAGTGTTTGTGTATACCTTCAGTAGTATAGAACATTTTGGGGGTATCAAGACGAACACAGAATAATAGCAACACTAAAAATAATAATAAAGAACCATAAAGAAATACAAAAAAAAGATCAAAAGTGAGAAACAATATATTGACAATGAGGCTGCTGTCACTGAATGCCGCATAGATCTGCGGCTTAACTAACTCAACACAGCTAGAGTAGCTACAGTACTTATATATTAGGATATTTAATTTTGAGGTAATGAAATGGCAGCAAAGGTGTGGCTATTGGGGGAGGCTGGACGCCACAAAAAAAAAAAATAAATAAAAAAAAAAATAAAAAAAAATAAAAAAAAATTAAAAAAAGGAGAATAGTAGTCGTGGTGTGTGTGTCACTTCCCCACCCTGTAAAAGCCGGGATAGGTAAACCTTCATAACAAGCCTGTCAAAACACCCAGTACAGTACAGAAAACAACACACCTGCAGGCTCATGAGAACATTTGTGTATTCGCTGTAAAACTCGTGCGTGTCTGACTAGGAGAGGGATGTAGCTTCCTGACGTGTAAAGGTAAATTCTGGACGGATCAGGACCTTGAAGTGGAAGCTGCAACAAGAAAGTAGAATATAATGACATTAATAATCACAATGAGAATACTGTACTGCACTACAGTATACTATTTCCACGCTAACCTGGCCCATAAGCCACGCCCCTCTTCTGTGTCATTTATTTCTGTTTGCTTTGTTGGGCACAAAACAAAGAAATAATGAAAAAGGTTTCATTCGAGAGCGAATTTCATCCTTGACTTCGACCTTTCATGATAAATATTAAACATTTTCTAACATCCTCTCTGAAGTGCTAATGCCTTGAAATCATTTTAATTTTGATAGTCTAGATCAGGGGTTCCCAAGCTTTTTCTAGCACGACCCAATCCAGTGTTGTCAACTGTCCAGTGCGACCCCAAATCATTTCACTGGCAGACCCAAAGGACCCCAGCGACCCCATGACCTCTTTGCGACCCTACCTAATGAGCCTTCTGACCCCATTTGGGGTCGCGACCCCAGGTTTGGGAACCCCCGGTCTAGATATTTAACATTATTTTAGATAATAACAGGTCTGCTTACCAACTGTGAACACATTTAGTTTGAATAAATGGATAGATCTATGAAAATTTTCTATGAACCAATCAGCTATTTGTAGCTATAGACAAGGGTATTGGCTTACGGGTCAGGTTAGCGTGAAAATAATATAATAATATCCCAGGAGGCAAGGGAATATGGACCCCTTTACTGTACTGTACCTTCATTATTACAGTAATTAAGAACAAATAATACAAAAGTGTTGGGATATACTAAGCATTAAACAGGGAGGAAATGACAGGAGGAGCAGGAGGAGGAGGGGTGAAAGAGGAGGAGGAGGAGGAGGAGGAGGAGGAGGAGGAGGAGGAGGAGGAGGAGGAGGTGAAAGAGGAAGAGGAGGAGGAGGAGGAGGAGGAGGAGGAGGAGGAGGAGGAGGAGGAGGAGGAGGAGGAAGGATGAAGGAGGAGTAGGAGGAGGGAAGGAGGAGGTAGGGGTTGAAGGGGGAGGAAGAGGAAAGACATAAAGCATTCTATATTACCTGTGGAGACTTGCAATTTCGATGTCTGGTGCAGTCTTCAAATTCCTCCTCTAATCTGGCGGTCAGGTCAGCCAAGAGTGTTGCATCAGCTGATGAAGTGGCCTCACCATTCACACATGCACTGAAGTTTACAAATAAACTTAAGTATTACTAAAACACAATTCTATATATCTTTTTGGGGGGTTACATGAGATTAGCTCTCCCCCCCAATTATTTCACCATTAAAAACCCTTATGCTACCTGGAGGAGGTTAGATAGCATTAGGCTAGGTTAGTATTAGATTATGTTAGTGGTAGGTTAACTTGGGTTAGTGTTAGGTTAAGTTAGGGTGGTTAATCGTAAGATGGAATAAACTAACAGGGTAAAACATCACATTTTCTATTTTTTTTCTTTTCTTTAACAATCTTCAAAGCCAAATTTCATTGTTGCAGAGGATGGCTAAAACAAAGAACGCACGCACCTATGCTCTTCAAGTGATCTTTAATTTGCCTCCATGCAGTCACACAAGACCCTACCTGAATGCTTGTTGTCTTAATTCCCTCTGTGTGTGTGTGTGTGTGTGTGTTTTGAGCTTGCCTGTAGGATTCAAAGAAGTTCATGAAGAGTTTGTTCAGGAGTAAGGTGGTGAGGTGACATGCCAAGACACTTACACAACACGCACATTAACAGCACTACTAAACCATTGTCTTATAACATTTTACATATTAATTTCTATTTTAAAATTAATTGATACATGATAGCTCAACAAAACTACTTTTGCACTTAGACAACTGATCAATGAATAAACCAGGGCATATAGAGACTCATTATACACTAGTGATGTCACAAAGCTTTGAAACTGCAACCACAACTTCTGAACAACCACATAATTTATCACAACCGGTACCCAAATGTACTAAGTTAATTACTAAAATTATACAGTAATGCCTGGTGCAAAATAAGGGATGTGTGTACTAAAATTAACTGCTATCTTACAAGAATTCCAGCAATGCAAGTTATATTTACCTAAGTCAAGTCAGTGTTATTTTATAAGCAAAAAAATTAAACCCTCTGCCTTTCATAATCCTTAAGTACACATTGATCTCCCCTCCTGGCTGTCGACAACCCACCTCCCTCCCTCCTCCCAGCCAGAAGAAGGGTCCACTGGTGGGTAAAAGTGACTGCACCCGCACCCCCCAAAGGGTTGCCTCACTGTGTGTGTGTGTGTCTGTGTAATAATAATAATAATAATAATAATTAATGGTTTATTGAACAAGTTCTGCAGCCCGAAGGCTGAAAATATACATTGGACATAAATGACCTATTGCATACATTGGTGGTTTAACAAAAACCTTCATTAGAGAAAGGTAAAGGAACATACAATGAACATACAGATTAATGTAGGTGTTGAACAGCAAACATGTAGTATCGTAACTCCCTCCCAGAGGGTGTTAGGAGGAACCTCATGTGGTGTAGTAGTTCCCTCACAGATATGTGTGTGTGTGGTGCAAAATAAGGGATGTTTATATTCAAATTAATTGCTATCTTACAAGAATTCCAGCAATGCAAGTTATATTCTCATAAGTCAGGTCAGTGAAATTTTATAAGCGTAAATCTCCCCTCCATTTGTTGTGAACTAGGAAGAGAGAGAAAGGTTCATTGGGAGGTAAAAGTGACCGTGCCACCCCCCATCCCCTCACTGTTTGTCTAAAGTACTCATGACACAAAAATGTTTGTTTTTCATTAATTAATACAGATATGTTACTGTAATAATCTGTGCTTATTAATACATGTACCCTACATATAAAATACTGTAAGTACATGTATATACCTCATAGGTAAAAAATGGCATTCAAGACATTGTAGCCAGGTTAGAATCATCACTGTAACCACTAGGTTACTGGGCCAAGCTCTGAGGTGTTATGGTTTTATTAACTCATACTTTTGGGTAGACATATGTAACCTTCATTTATTTTTACCCAGTTACATGCACACACCATCCAACATACATAGTGAAAAAAGTATACTGTACAGTATTACACTGCAATTACAGACATCCTTCATGTTGGATTGGCTAGATGGCTATGAAAGAAAATCTGTAAGTTTGATCTATGTATCAACCTAGCTGGTGCTCAGATGCCATTCATCCTAGAAACAGTAATTTGTTTTCTATATTTCGATACATTTTGTTGCCTTGTTCCTGATTATTTGTAAGAGGATTTTCCCATTATTATTTATTTTGTGTGTGCTTCGTGTGTGTGTGTGTGTGTGTGTATGTGTGTTTTTTTTTGGTGTGAGTGTCTACACACACACACACACAAACCTCACTCATATAACACCATCTGTGAAGGAATTACTACACCACATGTCCCTCATAACACCATCTGTGAGGGAATTACTACACCACGTCAAGTCCCTCATCACACCATCTGTGAGGGAATTACTACACCACGTGAGGTCCCTCATAACACCATCTTACTGTCCCTCATAACACCATCTGTGAGGAATTACTACACCACGTGAGGTCCCTCATAACACCATCTGTGAGGGAATTACTACACGTGAGGTCCCTCATAACACCATCTGTGAGGGAATTACTACACCACGTGAGGCCCCTCATAACACCATCTGTGAGGGAATTACTACACCACGTGAGGTCCCTCATAACACCATCTGTGAGGGAATTACTACACCACGTGAGGTCCTCATAACACCATCTGTGAGGGAATTACTACACCACGTGAGGTCCCTCATAACACCATCTGTGAGGGAATTACTACACACGTAGGTCCCTCATAACACCATCTGTGAGGGAATTACTACACCACGTGAGGTCCCTCATAACACCATCTGTGAATTACTACACCACGTGAGGCCCCTCATAACACCATCTGTGAGGGAATTACTACACCACGTGCCCCCTCATAACACCATCTGTGAGGGAATTACTACACCATGCCAGGTCCCTCATAACACCATCTGAGGGAACTACTACACCACATGAGTTCCTCCTAACACCATCTGGGAGGGAGTTACTACACTACGAGTTTGCTGTTCAACACCTACATTAATCTGTATGTTCACTGTATGTTCCTTTACCTTTCCCCAATGAAGGCTTTTGTTAAACCACCAATGTATGTCATTTATGTCCAATGTATATTTTCAGCCTTCGGGCTGCAGAACTTTTTCAATAAACCGTTAATTATTATTATTATTATTATTACACATACAATACAGGTACAAGAAATAACTTTCCTAAGGACAAACACATAAAGGGAATATACATTTCTTTGCACACAAGTAAAAATGTACCCCCACCCCCCCCTCTGGTCAGCAAATGATATTCGCGGATTTGGTTGTTCACGGCCATTTTGAAACCCAAACCCCAGTAAATTTTAAGGGCATGCTGTACTTTTGTTTTTGCCACATTCACTCTCAAGCCCTTTGACTCAACAGTAAAGCCCCATAGTTCGTACCCCTCAAAGTTGAAATCACTCGTAATTCACAACGGCTTTTACAACAGTACTGTAAAAGCCATTTTGAAATATTACGATATATATACAGCTGCTCCCCGACTTACGATGGGGTTAGGGACCGACATCCAGGCCGTAAGTCGGAAATGCTTAAATAATACATAGAAAATCTAAAATGGGTGTCTTTTTTTCTTCTCAGCACCACAAAACACTTACTTTTAAGCTTGCCAGCCATTTTAAAGTGAATTACAGATGAAAATTTTGTCTGTGTACTGACTTTGGGACTCCAAAATACTTAATTTGACCAAATTTTGGTACGACTGAGGCAGATCGTAAATGCAGGTGGACGTAAGTCGAGTAGGTCGTCAGTCGGGGAGGAGCTGTATTGTATTACAATTATTTTCGTAATATTTGGTAAAATTTTGGATTATGAGAGACATTTACAAATATATATGACACACATGTCACCAGGCAGCCATGGGATACAACCACCCACCTCAGTGTAAATAAGCACTACAGTATGTACATCATATGTCGGTGAGTTCAAGTTGCTCAGTCATGGATTGTACACCTACGGTCTACCATCGCAACCTTTTTCCACTTGTTTCTCCATCAATGCTCCCAGTGGTTGAGCCACTAAGTTTGATAATCCTAATCTGGCACTGTTTTTAGAAACCTTTAAATTTTGATTGGGGCAGACAACAGATATTACTGTCGTTTTGTTTTTTCCTCGGGAAAACGTGTCCCTCATATTTCATAAAATCTCATAGTTCGTAAGGAGTAGAGACCCTATTATTTCTAATTATGGGGTTTTGCTGTATTCATTCTTAAATTTCTCCACTGCCTATGATCTGTTATCAGCACTAAGTCAACAGCATATAACAACTCCTAGGGTAGATCAGTCCTAAAATATTGCCTTCAGCACCTAACTTTATTACTAATCACGAAAAGTAGTGTGCAATAGTGAATACAAACCTAACTTAAGATCTTTTGGTTCTGTTAGGTCTGACTGGTTCGTGTAAACTGACAAAAATCGTGTGTACTGTATTTTGTACACAGGCTATGGCATCACCCAACTGTCTAGTGAAAAGTAATCGAAAGCCAGATGTAGAATGGTCACAACTCAAAAAATAAGTAATGATAAAAACAATAAAAACAAACCTATTTTCTTTGTTTGCTGAGGCTTGATCATTGCTTACTTTCGAATGACCAAGTCTGCTTGCTGCGCCCACTAATCTGAGCGTCACATTGCGGAGTTTTAGCATGGAGATGTCCGCCACCGTGCTGGCCTTTATGTCACTCTCTTGCAGACATCTGAGATAGAAAGAGAACAACAACAAAAACAAGTCATTACAGAGATAATAGAGTTTATAAGGCATTAAATGGTGTGTGTGTGTGTGTGTGTGTGTGTGTGTGCTGCTAATAATAATAATAATAATAATAATAATTAACAGTTTACTGAAAGAGCATAGCAACCAGAAGGCTGAAAATATACAGTTACATAATTGGGGAATGGGTTTCGATTTACAAATAATATACAAGTAACATAAGTGATACAAATATGATATATAATAACTAGATGGGGAAAAGCTCAAACTACAGGGCATTTCAACATAGTGACAGTGCAAGAAGTAGTATTTACTGGGAGTGAATACACTGGTTTATTACAAGTTATTGATAATTTTTACAATAGTTGGGACTGGGCTGTTGTTATAGCGATCAGTTCGTGCACGTATGGGCTGGATGCGGTTGTGGTGTCGAACAGCAAATCTCGGGCTAGGGATCTCAGGTGGTAGTAGGAGCCGGTGTCGAGGATGGTGCAGAAGCTTCTTACCAAATTTGCAGATGAGGTCGTGGCGATGGTCAGTGAGAATCGAAAGGGTCAGTGTGTTGAGCGCTTCTTGATATGGAGTAGGAAGGGGAGAGAATAATCTTGCATGCCCTCTTTTGCACTTTTTCTAAGTGTTTACGTTGTGTGGCATTTAGGGAGGAAGACCAGGTAGGGGAGGCATAGGTGAGCTTGGGAAGTATGAATGTTGAGTAAACACTGAGGAGCTCGGGTGCAGGAACTCCGAGGGACTTGAGTCGGCGGAGGAGGTGGAGACGGAAACTGGAGGATTTGACAACTTCACTGACGTGTGGTTTCCAATTTAGTTTGTTGTCTATGGTGACGCCGAGGAGCTTAGTGGAATCTATAACCTGGAGTGTGTTGGGACCTAAAGTAATGGAAGGGGGTGGGACAATGTCGGAGGAGAGGTTGATGTGCATAACGACAGTAAATAAAAATAAATTCTATCCTACAGGATGAAGTATTCCAGCGCCATAGGTGGAGCTGCCTAGCTAGGGAGTCTGGGATGAGCAGTAGTCCACTAAGCAAATAAAGTGTGTTACTAATAATATTACTAATAATAAAATACTGAAAACAAGCCAAATTATCACAAACTTACGACAAATTTGCCGAAGACGTAAATAATGGCTTACATTGGCTTAACGGCAGAGGGAAGCTCACAACATTTCACTGTACCACCTTCCCCACCATACATAACCCACACCAGATACATGTCTTACATTATTTAACGACTGTGTTACCTTTAAGAAACATTTGTTAATTATCTAAATGATAAAATGACCCTAGAAAGATTAAAGAAATGTTAACAGAAAGTTCAGCCGCCAGTCAGCGATCTGCAATGAGTCGATGACGCCAAAACATAGCGATGGTGCTACACCCTGGTGGCAGATCGCGGCAACACAAAACATCACATCCAAAAATACGAGTTTCACAACCTGTCGGTAATTCTCTTGACCAAAATATAAACAAGCCACACAGCTGCTCTGATGAGAGGTAGAGTTGGGTTAGTTTAATGTTACTATATATGATTTCCTACTTGATTCCAGTATATATTATATTTTCATGCACAAAATCAGATATTTTCCCCTACAAAACCACTTTAAAATCATTTTCAATAATTGTACAACGAATCACACTAAAAAAAAAAAAAATCCACAAAATATCCTTGTAAAGTAGGGGTGCATATTATGCGGTGGTGAGTCTTATATGCCGGCAAATACGGCAGTATGGTAGACTGCTTGAAGATTTCTGTCTCATGAGTTTGCAAGTTTGTCAGATGCTTTGCAACTATTTTGACACTTATGGCAAAAGATTACAGTACATCCACTTTCCAGAATTAGGCAGCATACAAAACCTTGAAGATGAATTTCACGCCATTTCAGGGATGTCTGGTGTATTTGGCTGCATTGATGGGTCTCATATCCCTATTGAAGCCCTGGAGGGAACAGAGCTGAACTAAATCGATGTAGAAAGGGGTGTAACTGATACATGGTTTGATTCATGTTGGTGATGTTGGAGGGTGTGTGTTGGTGGTGTTGGAGGGTGTGTGATGGTGGTGTTGGAGGGTGTGTGTGATGGTGGTGTTGGAGGGTGTGTGTTGGTGGTGTTGGAGGGTGTGTGTGTGGTGTTGGTGTGTGTGATGGTGGTGTTGGAGGTGTGTGTTGGTGGTGTTGGAGGGTATGTGTTGGTGGTGTTGGAGGGTGTGTGTTGGTGGTGTTGGAGGGTGTGTGATGGTGGTGTTGGAGGGTGTGTGTGATGGTGGTGTTGGAGGGTGTGTGTTGGTGGTGTTGGAGGGTGTGTGTTGGTGGTGTTGGAGGGTGTGTGTTGGTGGTGTTGGAGGGTGATGTATGCCATGTTTTGAGTTGTGCACTTCATTCTGACTGATAGTAATCATAACAAACAACAAGATAATTCATTATTGATAGATTCCATTAGTTTTATTTATTTAGTTTTAGTATTTTAGGGACTTAGGTCAGACTGGGTGTCATTCTCCTATCTCAGATATAATAGACATTAACCATTTACCCTAACTCACACAAGAAAAACTCATACAGAAATTGTTTTTGTCTTGTGTTACCAAACTACAGTATAATTTATAAAACAAAAAAATTGGGGATTGTGACAATTTATCTCGACTAAAAATACCAAAAGTGCATATATACCGAAAAAAGTTCAGTAATGGAAAAAATTTTGGGATTAGTATTATACAGGGGGTCCCCAGGTTATGAACGGATTCCATTCCTGAGGCCGTTCGTCAGTCAGAACACATGCTATGTGCATACCGTACTAACTGAACAATGTTTAAAATCCCATTATATACAACTAAAATCACTTAATTTAAGACAAAAGAAGAAACAGAATGACCAAATACAGTATATGAAAGCAAAAAATAAGTCATCAGGTAAACAAAATACAATGAATTTCAAGTTTAACCCCATTCATAAGTCGGGGACTCCCTGCCCTGTATACCGAAAACTTCCTTTTACCGAACTGGCTGCTCACCAATTATTTTCATATTGAAAGGTAATACTGTACATATTCAATAAATTGTGGGATGGAATATTTTAAACAGCATGTAACAAATTCTAACTCCCAAAGAGCAATAATTATGTACAATAACAAGAGAAATTGCTAGGACAATGGAGGGGGGTTGGCATGGGTAGCTGTTCTACATTAATTTCTGAATTGGGCTCCTCCTCCCTTGACAAATTCTAGTTAAAACATTGGTATCTATTTGTACAAAGATAGTCTGTACAGTAGAGCACTTGCATACTTAGCTCAGAATGACATACAGAATATTCACATCACGACCAATATATATAATGCCCCCCAACAGCTGGCTGCATCTCACCTGCTGAGAGGTTCCCAAGTGTTCATGACTCGCAGGTCCCAGTTGTTCCGTAGCTCCTCCCAGTTGGTCTTGTCCGTCGCAGGGTCAATGTCCATCTGTTGCAATGTTTCTACCATGTGGCTGTGAGAGCTTATCTGACAAAATAGGGATCATTCTATTATATTTTCACTCTTCACCATCTTAAGTAAATAACAACTCTCTTACACCAATGTCTCCAATCACTTGTCTTCCACAAGCATCCCTCTTTTTGAGATTTCCTTTTCCCTAAATCTATCCCATAAAATAAGAGAAGAAGAAAAGTCAAGAAAAAATACACTATGAACTAAATGACAGAATTTTCTCAGGGATACAAGTTCTTTAATATCATTATGAATCTGCAGGTTATTCCTTTATGTACATTTTCCTACATCCCTTCCTTCCTCCATAATATATTTGCAGTTAATCAGACTAGTCATTCTCATTAATACAAATTCTTCACACAGGTTCATTTTGCACACTAAGTTACTTTATAAATGTGACTTATAAATCCTCCAACTTCCAATCCTTTTAACTAATCTATACCAACTATGCATACTAATGTACTGTACATTCCTCAGTTAAGTTTGTTTAAAAAATAAAAAAGTAAACATTAACTTTACACATATTGTAAGGTCACGACCCCCAAGACAAGAAAGGTTAACTTAGCCCAAGACACTAATGAGGTTGGTTTCCAGCTCAACACACTGTACCCAACACTTTTTTCTTTGTTACTAATTGTACGCAATGAGTAATAAACTCAGCAAAGACACACAGTCAAGTATATTTTACCTAAACAACATTACCACCCTTGCCTGGTCATGACTCATGAGTTGGAGGTCAAACACACAACCAACTGAGTCATGCTGCCACTTTAAATTTCTTCTCCAGTACTAATTAGGTCTACAGGATGCTTCCCATTCTTCTCTCTGCCACTCATAACTCTGCTTTTAACTTTAACCCCCCCCCCCAGGCCAGCCATTTTCAAAACATGTTTCCAAAATCCACAGTAAATAAGAAATTATACTAATAAGTCTTCATCACTCAAGCTATCTTTTAACATATTGTATTTAGGTACAGGTATAAAATCTTTGCTCTGACTAGTGCCTACAATTCTCCTCCCATGAAATACTTTGCATGAAAACCTGATCATTCCATGTGGCTACTGACACTGCCCTGTTAAGAAACATTACTTAGAGAGAGCTACTCTAACAATTCTAATTTTGTCACCCAAATCTCACTGTACAGCAAATTGATCCAAACCTAATCAAAGGTAAAGTTTGAACTGGGGAAAGAATCCTCAGGATGATGCTTCTATAGTACCATAAGGATAAAGGCATCAAAGTTACCATAAACACAAATACAATGCTGTACTGTACATTGGCAATAGCTTTTACTATGATGGTACTTACATCTGAGGTTAGTTCCATCAGCATCTGCTCGGCGGTCACTGTAGCAAAATGGAGGGAATTATTTAATCTTTCTCTGAACTCCACGAACTCAGGAATTCTAGTCAGTGATCCATATTTATACGAAGATATTAGTGGATCTGAGGTCTGAAAGTAGAAGATAAAAAAAATATATTCAGATAAGTAGAGAAGAAATAAACAGTGCCAATCTTCATGCTATTATTTTGAGTTAAGAAAGAATGCTCTCTCTCTCTCCCTCTCCTATGTTATGGCATGGTGGTGTCGTCGTCAGTCTAGTGAGCATCTGAAAAATATCTTTATCTGATATATAACTTTTGAATCAATAGTCACTTTGTAATGCATCCAATTTAAGTCTTTCTGTGAAAAGTCAACATCACAGCTGAAGGTTAGATATGAAATAGAGCAACATGCAAACAAAGAACTGCAGTACTGGTCTTTTTGTACACATATGATGGAGTTACCTTATGGCAGTACTTAAATTTAACCCCCTATTTTTTTTTCATTATTAAAAATGGCCCAGTCACAACCTCCAAACCCACAATCCTCATGTCATCCCGGCACCAGCAGTTTTTCAGTGTATCACTAGATATACTATGGGTAGTGCAAAGGGTCAAGAGTCAGTCAAAATGATAATAAATCCAAGATACAGGTCACATCATAGGGCAAATTAAGCAGCATCACAGTGTATTTTGTGACACAGACTCCCATCATGTCCCCACATGTAAAATTACACACTGGTAGTCTTTTCTGGTGAATTGTTCATCACTGTATGGCAGATTCTGACATTCATTTTTTAACAATAAAGGCAACCCCCGCGATACAGATTCCTGGGTTACAGAAAATCGCCCTAATGGAATTTTGAAATTATAACCAAAAATTTCGCGATGTGGAAATTTTAAAAAAAATCGCCCTTAAAGAATTTTGGTATTTTTTTTAATTTTCATACATAAAATTTGTGATATAGAACAAAGAAATTCACCAAAATTTTAAAATTAATTTGTGTGGATTCAAGTATACAACAGTAAGTCCTCGCTTAACGTCGTCCCGCTCCGCTTAACGTTGTTTCGGTACTACGTCGCTAACTTTAGAGACCAAATTTTTTTTTAATGTCATGGTGATTCAGTACAACGTCAATTTGCGTCGTCACGGACTACTTTTTTACGGTGCTGCCCTCACTCATGTAACGTCACAGCGTCCCCAAGCGACGCCAAGCCAGTCTCTGTTACGACTTAACATCATTCATGTGTGCTTAAGTGCTTTTGCTCTAATACTGTACTCAAACCATTCGAAATGGCTTCCAAGCACCCATCAAGTGTTACTGATGCTTGTGTAGTGAAGAGGCAACGTAAGATCATTACCCTTGCTAGGAAAATGGATGTATTAACCCGATTTGAAAAAGGGGAACGTGCTGTGGACATAGCCGCTGTGCTAGGTCTAACCCCCACAACGAAGCGTATTATCCGGACCAACACTGACAAGATTAAGGTTAGTGCTGGAAGTGGTACAACTCTCAGTGTAATAAAACAATTCGTACTAGATGCATTGTGATAGTGAAAGTGGAAAAGATGCTGGCTATGTGGATGGAGGACCAGAATTAATGCAATGCCCCTGTGAGCCTTATCATTATCCAGCATAAGGCCAGATCCTTGTTTGACGACATAAAGGAAACTGAGGGTGAAGGATCGAAAGAAGAAACCTTTATGGCCAGCCGAGGAAGGTTTCAACGATTTAAGCGTCATTATAATTTCCACAGCATAAGATGACTTATGAAGCTGCTAGTTCAGATACGGTTGCTGTCGAGACATTCCCTCCTGAATTCAAGCACATTATCCAGGAAGGAGGCTACTCATAGAAGCAAATCTTCAATGTGGATAAGACTGGTCTCTTTTGGAAGAGGATGCCTGAGAGGACCTATATCTCCAAGGAGGAGAAAAGAGCGCCAGGTTTTAAAGTGGCAAAAGACCACTTGACGCTGCTGCTTGGTGCAAACGCTGCCGGTGACTTCAAGCTGAAGCCGATGCTGATTTCTCGCGCTGGCAACCCATGGGCACTGAAAGGTTACTTTAAGGATCACATTCCAGTGATCTAAAAGGCAAATAAGAAGGCATGGATAACCGGAGCCATATTTAGCCAGTGGTTGAACGTGTACGCCATCCCTGCAATGAAGGAATGCTGTGCCAAGGAGAACCTTGACTTCAAAATTCTTCTTGTCGTTGACGATGCACCAGCTCATCCTCCCAATCTCGACGACTTGCATGACAGTGTAAAAGTTGTATTCCTGCCTCCCAACATGACAGCACTGATGCAGCCTATGGACCAAGGCGTCATCGCCGCATTCAAGGCGTATTATTTACGCCGTACCATGGCCCAGCTGCTCAAGGCTACAGACGGAGAAAATTACCCTCCTCCGCTCCCGCCATACTCCTCCCATGCAGCCCTCCGCTTCACTACCCACCACACACTCACTCTACCACCTCCGCCCATTGGTGAATATCAATACAAACTTAGTACAGGGTGGTTGTATATGCATGCACTATTTTCTATAGAAATGGCAATGATTTACTGTATATGTAATGTATTTTATGGGGCAAAGGAAGGCTCAGATATAGTTTTAGGATAACCTGGCTAGTCTAACACTCATTTGTATGAGCCCAAATACTTTGTTAGCCTTGTTTCAAGCAAATTCACATTGTTGTCTTGGTTTAAGATTCCTACTTATCATTACCCCTGAAATCTTTCTCACAGTTGGATTTCTCTATAACAGCATTGTTCACCTGATATCTGGTTTTCTGTTGACATCTCCTAGACTAAGAACTTTACATTTGTCCACATTAAATTTCATCACCACCACCACCACCAACATTCCCTACCACCACCAACACTCACCATCACCACCAACATTCACCACCACCACCAACACTCTCCTCCACCACCAACACTCTCCATCACCACCAACACTCACCATCACCACCAACATTCACCACCACCACCAACACTCTCCACCACCACCAACACTCTCCACCACCACCAACACTCTCCACCACCATCACTCACCACCACCACAACCATCACTCCACCACCACCCCGCCAACACTCACCGTCACCACCAACACTCACCATCACCACTCACCACCACCACAACCATCACTCACCACCACCGCCGCCAACACTCACCGTCACCACTAACACTCACCGTCACCACCAACACTCTCCACCACCACCACCATCACTCACCACCACCACAACCATCACTCACCACCACCGCCGCCAACACTCACCGTCACCACCAACACTCACCGTCACCACAGTCACCCCTATCACTTATAACCACCGAACGAGTTACGAACGTGAAGAGCTGCGAGAGCGACTCGTTTACAGTATTCTGGTAGTGTGCAGGCTTCCACTCCCTCACCCCAGTTTGAACACGTTCTCAACCTGCAAACACCAGTTGGTGGTGAGTGATGGTGAGTGTTGGTTGTTAATTGGTAATGGTGTTCACAGGATGAGAAAACGTTCAAACTGGGGCAACAGAGTGGCAGAGTGCAGGCTACCAGAATAAATAAAGTTACCCTACACTTTAGTAACACACACTGTACAGAACTTGTTGGAGGGGAGGGGTGATGTGAAATAATATCCACTGCACTGCTAGACGCAAGTCAACAGCTGACTTGTACATATTATGGATTTTCATAATTTTTTTTTAAGTAAAATATAACTTGGGTTACAAATATTCACTTAACAAGTGGAAATTAGTCATATAAAGAGCAAGTGTGTGAAGTAAGTTGAATGTTACCGTGAATTTTGTTTACACAAGAAGGAGAGCGCTGATTGGCTGCGAGCATACATGGGTATGTCGTTCTCATTGGCAGAGAAACTGCAAAGAAACATGACTGCTGTCAGGGAGTCCCAAGTGTTCTGTCTTGTATTATGGATTTTCATAATTTTTATTCTCGTAAAAAATAATTCCAGAAGAGGAACAAATCAGCATTATGCAGGATAGGGCTAAATGAAGTATTTCTGTAAATATTTGTGATAATTTGGATATGAATGGTCTGCCATTTTTTACTTTAACGAACCTAAGTCTGTAATATATTAACGTAGTCCAAAAGGGACAGAGTATTTGTTATAGATGTTGTCCATTATATCAGGGGTTTACTGTACTTGCAGTTCAAAGTAAAAATTTAGTATGTAAATGTTTGTAAATTATGTTAGTAGGAATATACAGTAATCTCCATATAATATGTGGAGTTGGGTTTTTAGAAACACACACATCTCATCTTTGTGCTCAGTATTTCATATAAAAGAAATGAAAGGATAACAGTCTACATTCCCAGGTGTCAATAAACACAAAGAAAATAACCTATAATGCAAATCTACGTATTATTCTTCATGATCACAAATCCCAAATAATTAACATAAGCAACAAATGGGAGTGGAGAGCTGCATAATAGAACAACCTGATGTTTACAGTACTGTACTGAGGCTGGGGTCTGGGGTCATGGGTGGAGGGATACTGGGGGCTGAGGGAGGAGTACAAGTGTGAGGATGGTGGAGGGACTGTCTCTCAATCAACAGCAGTCATTATTCAGCAATTTCCAGTTGATTATAAAGTTACACCCAACTAAAATAAAAACCCCAAGAGATAACTCAATGTACGAGTAAGTGTACAGGGCGTTATGCAATCTAATAAGGATAAACCAAAAGGAATCTTTGAGCTTTGTTACATAAGAAGAACACCATATCAGAAGACCTCTAGAGAGGCAGCTAGTGAAGACTGATAAAGTAACTGCATTACTCTTGTTATTAACCATCCTGCACTGAAGCAAGAAGCGATTAAAAAATGTGAGATCACCTTAAGTTGCAGGTACGATACCCACTGCTACATGTTGGGGGGGGGGGGTGGTGGTGGTGTTAGGTTTAGTTAGGATATGTTAAGTTAGATTCCATTAGATTAGCATTAGGTTGGTCAATCTTCAGGTGAAATAAGTGATTGTCTTATCTTCCTTTTATTAAAAAAATATTGTCTACAGAGACCCATTTTTCCTAACATTTGCCACAGTAATTGTTATCCTAACTAATGTACATGACAACATTAACCCTCTCCCACCGATAGTCACACTTTAGGAATTTTTTCAACTTCGGCTGCCTGAGGAACACCAGAAAAATAAAAAGAACATGATGCTAATGGGTGATGTTGGCTCATATAACTCTACAGATACACCAGATAGAAGTTTGTGAAAGAAGATCACCAAAGCAGTTAGTAAAAGTGACTGGAAATGATGAAAGAGCCTGTACTGCTTTGCTCTTGATTTCAGCCACCCTGTACCATGCATAACAAGACTTGCAAGAATGTGGGGGATGGGGTACTTAGATCTTGTGAAGATAAGGCACCCCAGCTTATTTCACCTGATGATTATACATCTTAATGGTACCAAAGGGTGTGGTTAGGTTAAATTAGGTTAGGTAAATTAGATTAGATTTAACAAGTCAGGCTAAAATTAGGTTAGATTAGCATTAGGCTGAAATAAATAAGGAGAGGATGCTAATCTGTACATGACCCAAATAAACAAATCTGGACTTACATCTTTATAGTTGGCCATGAAGAATTTGAGCGTGGAAGAGAAAATGTCGGCAGCAGTTGCATAATTGGCAGAGTCCAGAGCTTGCAATGCCAGGACGTGACCCAGGGTGTCAAGCTGGATGTGTTTTAAGTCACATTTTTCATATACAGTCTGAGAGGCATCTGTGGCACCTGCAGGAGGAACAGTGTCATAATGTAATTCAGGTTACTAATGGTGTCATAATGTACTGTAATACAGGTTACTAATGGTGTCATAATGTAATTCAGGTTACTAATAGTGTCATAATGTAATTCAGGTTACTAATGGTGTAATAATGTAATTCAGGTTACTAATGGTGTCATAATGTAATTCAGGTTACTAATGGTGTCATAATGTAATTCAGGTTACTAATGGTGTCATAATGTAATACAGGTTACTAATGGTGTCATAATGTAATACAGGTTACTAATGGTGTCATAATGTAATTCAGGTTACTAATGGTGTCATAATGTAATTCAGGTTACTAATGGTGTCATAATGTAATTCAGGTTACTAATGGTGTCATAATGTAATTCAGGTTACTAATGTTGTCGTAATGTAATTCAGGTTACTAATGGTGTAATAATGTAATTCAGGTTACTAATGGTGTCATAATGTAATTCAGGTTACTAATGGTGTCATAATGTAATACAGGTTACTAATGTTGTCATAATGTAATTCAGGTTACTAATGGTGTCATAATGTAATTCAGGTTACTAATGGTGTCATAATGTAATACAGGTTACTAATGGTGTCATAATGTAATTCAGGTTACTAATGGTATCATAATGTAATTCTAATGGTTCATAATGTAATTCAGGTTACTAATGGTGTCATGCAAATTTAGGTTACTAATGTTGTCGTAATGTAATTCAGGTTACTAATGGTGTAATAATGTAATTCAGGTTACTAATGTCACCAATGTGTTCATAATGGTACATAATGTAATTCAGGTTACTAATGGTGTCATAATGTAATTCAGGTTACTAATGGTGTCATAATGTAATTCAGGTTACTAATGGTGTCATAATGTAATACAGGTTACTAATGGTGTCATAATGTAATTCAGGTTACTAATGGTGTCATAATGTAATTCAGGTTACTAATGGTGTCATAATGTAATTCAGGTTACTAATGGTGTCATAATGTAATTCAGGTTACTAATGTTGTCGTAATGTAATTCAGGTTACTAATGGTGTAATAATGTAATTCAGGTTACTAATGGTGTCATAATGTAATTCAGGTTACTAATGGTGTCATAATGTAATACAGGTTACTAATGTTGTCATAATGTAATTCAGGTTACTAATGGTGTCATAATGTAATTCAGGTTACTAATGGTATCATAATGTAATTCAGGTTACTAATGGTGTCATAATGTAATTCACGTAAGTAATGCAATTATATTAAGTTCTATATTGCAGAGGTATATACTGCAGTGGGAGCCGTGACTGCAACAAAATCATTAGCAAACACAAAGAGTCATCACCTTAACCTAAAGTACTGTAAACCTTCCTGATCCAACCTTACAAGGTCTGACCTACGACCTTCCTATGACCTTGACTGTGTCTCAGAGACTTAAAATTGATACTCTAACTTTTACTTAAGATATTTGTTTACTTCAAGTTTTATCAAAATGTCTGTAGTAACAAGACAGGGACTGTACAAGGGTTATTGTTACGACAATGTTCTGATCATTTACCAAGAAGAGTAAGTGATCTTGACCTTTTGCACTGATGTTTGAAAGTGGTTACTCACTGCATCTACTGATAATAAACTACTTACTAATTTGAAAGCTCATCAAAATATCTGCACTAACACAAGCATTACACTCTTTACCTTTGAGATATTGACCACTTTGATAAAAACAGCTCCATCTGGAGTTATACACCTTGTCTAGTGATGAAACACTGATAAAAAAATATATCACAACTTTTTATGTTCAACAATATGACACCACAGATGAAGGATTTTGAAATTCCTACTGAGGTAACTAGAGTCATATTGACCATTTCAAAATTCATCAGACTCTTCTGGGAAGATAATTTTCTTGCCATGTGTACATACTGATGTAAAGTTTCATAAAAATATCTATAAAAATATAGGAATTACCATATATATTCATATATAAACTGATCTCATATGCAGCTCAACCCCAAATTTTTTTGTAAAAAAACAAGTCGAGTTTTTCATATATCTCTTGTATAATCTGACCCTAGCTTTTGAGAAATAAAGGTACCGGTATCACCCTATGCATAATTTGTAGCAAGACACCATTTTCACAGCAACGCATCTTGGCCACTACAACTGCCGACAATGTTACCAAGTCCGAAACCGAATTCCTGTCAGTTACCAACTCCGATGAGGAATGAGATAAAACAATATACAGTGGTCCCTCGATTAACGAACCCAATTGGTTCCACAGAGTCGTTCGTTAACTGAAAATTCGTTAACTGAATCCATTATTTCAATGGGATATTGGGTAATTGTTTCCAACTCACAGAAAAAGTACATACAAAGTAAAGCCAAAATATGCATAAAGTCAGAAACACTCCTAAAAATCCCCGAAATCGCCCTTAAATCACTATACAGTATATATATATATACATACATATACAGTGGTCCCTCGGTTAACGAACACAATTCGTTCCAGAAGGTCGTTCGTTAATTGAAAATTTCGTTAACCAAAACCATTGTTTCAATGGGATTTTGGGTAATTGGTTCCAGCTCACCGAAAATTACATACAAACTAAAAATAAATGCAGTAAAGTACACTTACTTTGAGGTGTGTATGTAGAAGGCTCCTGGTTGATGATGATGATGGGAATTAGAATGGGGGTGGAGGAGAAGGGAGAAGAGAAGGCATTGGGGTGGAAGAGAAGTCACCCCATGGCACCATTTCACCCATAAAATTTTAGTTCACTTGGTGTAATTTAAGATTATTTTCTTTGAATCAACACTGCATTGCATTATATATTGTCAATATGTAAAATAAACTTCAGAATGACTAATAATTGTACTGTAAAAACATAAAAATAGTTTATGTTCAAGAGAGTCTCAAGCAAGATGCTTCCTCCACTGAGCAGGGACACACAATGACGCCATTTTGGGTGTGTTCAGTGGCTGTTTGGTGCGCTAGAAACTAGTTCCCTGTACTTGAATTATGTTAAATAATTGTTAAAATGACTAAAAACTTCAATATAAGACTTGGAAAATTATTGAATAGTACAACCTTCTTGATATTTATTCAAATGGTAACGAATTTAAGCCCTAGAACCGATTACTGTATTGGCGGACTAATACTACAGCTGGTGAGCAGGCGAAAACATGTTGGGAAAAATTCGTAAGGAATTCGTTAACCAAAATTTTTTCGTTAACCGAAGTGAAGAATCTTGTGGAAGGTAATTCGTTAACCGAAATTTCATTAACAAAGGCGTTTGTTAACCGAGGGATCACTGTACACTAGAACTCTTAAATCACTTCTGTAATGTGATACAGGTGATTAATTTTTATCTCTTGTGCAAAATATATGACGTTTATATTCAAATTATTCACTGTCTTGCAAAGATTCCAGCAATGCAAATTATATTCTCCAAACTTTAGTCTGATATCATATAAAACAAAAACTTTAAGCCTAAAACAACCAAACCCTGGCTGGGAGGGGAGGGGGGGAGGAAGGGTAGGTGACAGTGACACATTTTACAGTTGGCACCAAAAGTCTAGTGAAGTATTTGTTTATTTATGTCCTTTAGATTGAGTTTTTGTTTTTTGTTTACAAAATGTCACAGAAGTGACCGGGAGGAATATAATTTACATTGCTGGAATTCTTATAAGATAGTGATTAATTTGAATATACACATGCTATAGTTTGCACAAGACAAAAATCTTAGTAATCATTTTGTACATTATTTTGAAAAAATGTATAGCACAATTTTGCCCTTAGGACAGTGTATGCATGTAAATGAGTAAAAATAAATTAATAAAGTAACATATATTGAGCCAAAAATATTAGTTGAAAAACTTTATATAAACAGAGCTTGGATAGCTAAATTTTAGAATGACAAATAATTTTAACATAAAAATGCAAAAATATTCAAGAACACAACTTTCTTGATATTTACGCCACTGGAAACAAATGTTAACATAGAACCGATTACTGTATTGGCGGACTAGCTGATCAACTGATCGGCTCATGCACACATCGAAGTGTGTTTCTCCTAAGGCTTTCGTTAATCGAAGTTTTGTTCGTTCATGGAACTGAAAGTCCTTATGGGAGCTAATTCGTTAACCAAAATTTCGTTAATCGAGGGACCACTGTACAGTATACCAATAAATGTAAATGTAAGGAAAAAAAATTTAATAAAAAAAAAATATTGTATTGCCATTTGGTTGCTGGATGACAAAATTTATCAATTATTTCACTACACATGGAGGCAGCTCAAATAAGCTGAGATCCATCACCCCCCTCTCCCCCACTCAGAGTGAGATCCATCACCCCCCTCTCCCTCGCTCAGAGTGAGATCCATCACCCCCCTCTCCCCCACTCAGAGTGAGATCCATCACCCCCTCCCCACTCAGTGAGATCCATCCCCCTCTCCCCACTCAGAGTGAGATCCATCACCCCCTCTCCCCACCAGAGTGAGATCCATCACCCCTCCCCCACTCAGAGTGAGATCCATCACCCCTCCCTCCCTCAGAGTGAGATCCATCACTCTCCCCACTCAGAGGAGATCCATCACCCTCTCCCTCACCAGAGTGAGATCCATCACCCTCTCCCCACTCAGAGTGAGATCCATCACCCCCTCTCCCCACTCAGAGTGAGATCCATCACCCCCTCTCCCCCACCAGAGTGAGATCCATCACCCTCTCCCACTCAGAGTGAGATCCATCACCCCTCTCCCCCACCAGAATCCATCACCCCTCTCCCCCACTCAGAGTAGATCCATCACCCTCTCCCCACTCAGAGTGAGATCCATCACCCCCTCTCCCCCACTCAGAGGGAGATCCATCACCCCCTCCCCCACTCAGGAGTGAGATCCATCCCCCCTCTCTCCCCACTCAAGTGAGATCCATCACCCCTCCCCCATCCACCCCCCTCCCCCAGGGAATCCACACCCCCTCCTCCAGAGTGAGATCCATCACCCTCCCCACT